CTGCTGCGAAATCGATGATACTAATCCAACGGTGACCACTCAGTCGCTGTTGTTTCATTCTGATGTCGCCCTGTGGTATGGGTGGCACTTGGCTTGCCTTGTTGACCTCTGCGAAGTTCTGGCAGATGCGCCATTTGGGTGCGGATCCTTGCTTCGGTGCGTCTGGTGTCTTTGGTGGCCTTGGAGGCAAATCGTCGCGGGTGGGTAGTCCGTGTTGAGCACATTGGTTGTTTACACGGTGCAATAGCTCTTCCACTGGTAGGCTGTTTTATCCATGTGCTTTTTGCACTAGCACGGTGGGGCTCGCTGCCTTGACTTCTTCTGGTTCGATGCGCCTGATAATACCTGCCTTCTCGAGTTCGTTCAGTCATTCGTATAGGTATTCTCGTTGGGGTGGGGTCAGGGGTCGTTGATTGACTTTTGTTCTGAACGTCGTTCCTTCAGGGAAGGTAAGTTTGAACGTCTTGAAATCCACTGGGAAGACCTCGCTGACTGCCAATGCAAACGTGTCAGCAAACTCTGAGCATAAACTTGTTACCTGTGTCCGTTGTTCTGTCGTTAGATCATCTCCGATTTTGATCTGTCGTAAGATCTCCACAACTCAGATGGGATTGAATGGGTCCGTGTGTCTGGTGTATATGCTGGCTGTTGACGTCGAGGATGTTGGTATGTTCGATATTTCTCCAAGTTCGCCTTCGTCGTCCTGTTCGTACTGTAGGACCGGCCATATAACTGTTGATTGGGGTTGCTGAAGATCTTCTGTTGTGAATGGAACTGGTGAGCAAGGTGATTTCGACAAGTCGCTCGTTACCGTTGATACGCTGGGCCGGTTGTTTGATATTACAATGTGTGCTCCCGCTTGTGCCAACGCTGTCGTATATTCATCCAAACATTTCTTCGGTATTTCTTGCCCTGCTTGAAACACGAACTTCTCCTCAACGTTCACCATTGTACTCGATCCGGTTGGGCTAGGTTCTGGGACGTCAGCGGGTATAGATACAATAATAAAACAGGGACTTGAGGTTTCGATTGATTCGTCTTGCTGGGCTGCTATTGGCAGGCTAAGAGTGTTCTTGATGACAATCGGATGAGGTGCCTGTGGAATAACAATGGTATCGTTAGTATAGTCATGTATTGCCTGCAGTTGCTCCAGCAATGGTTTTCCTATCAGCAACGACCAGTTTCCCCCGCTATCGAATACTTCAAATGATGTTCTTGCTTTTACCTTGTCCCACTGAAAGGTGCCGGTCCAAATGCCATGCAATGGTACTTCGGCTCCATTGGCCATGCGGAGGATTCGTTTTGACGGTGTCAGGGTCTTGAGGTGTCGAGCTACTTTATGATATGCTTTGAGGTCGAGGACGTTCACCATTGCACCATCGGCAACGTTGGCATCGAAATGAGAGGTTTTGGCGCCCGGTCCATATAGGTTTGCTTGTGTTACAAATGGCTTGCTTTCTGTGTAACAATCTGTGACGTTGTGTAGATTTACGATGTTGTTATCGTTCACGCTTGAATAACAGTCAGAAGTATCGAATTGCTCAAAGGTAGATGTACTCAGCGTAAGTTCAAGGTCTGTACTATCGGTGCTCATAGACAGGTCATTGGATGTGTGTGTGCTAGGTGGTGCAGCTGGGGAGGTGCGGAGAGGTTCAGGAATAGAAGACTGATCTAGATCATGGGACGGGTCAGATGGTGCGTATGGTACGTGGGAATTAGTAAGTGGTTCTGAGTCTGGAACGTTCGAATATACAATAACTACAGAGTCCGTTGATGCGGACATAAGGGGATCTTCTGAAGGCATTTCTACGTTGAGTATTGGTACTATGAAGTCGTCCTCTTCCTCCTGCTTGTTGTTGTCGAGGCTGTGGTCCGTGCGCATGCTTGGCAAGTTTGCTAACGAGGTATCGAGGCTTATGGGGTTGCTAGACGTGGGTGTGGCTATAGGTGAGTTCTCATCGAGTTCTGATAAGGCTGGGGACATCAAATTTTCGTAACAGGGCATCTCGACGGTGTCGTGTCTTGCATCCATCAACCGGGCTACGTGGATCCGATTGTTCAGGACCGCAGGAAGGTCCCCTACATCTGCGGTCCGTACTTGTTTCCCAACATCTCATACTGCTGATACGGTTCTGAAGGTGGCGCGTAGTACGGGAATGATGGATAGAGTACATTCTGGGGCTGCATAGGTGCCACGAATTGTACGTTCATAGGCGCGCCTGTTGCTGGTGTTATTGTCAACGCTCTGGTCACCAAGTGTGATACCGTCTCCTGCCACTTCATTTCTTGTACTGGAACTGCTGGGTACATGCATTCGTAAGCTTGGTGACTTGGGTTTGTTGCTAACCCGCAGTTGAAACACTCTCTAGATCCCAGAGGTGCGGTACCTGGTTTCAGTGGGTACGGCCTTGACGAGTTCTGTATGGCATCCGCTCCGTGTGCTGCGTGCCAGTCCTGGACCTGCTGTGTGTATGTCTGTCTTCCCGTTTCTGAATCTGGCTGATGAGGAATGGTAGCAAACTGTACGGCTACTCGTGCTCAGTCTGCTATAGACCCTCCTCTCCCTCTCGTTGGCGTTTGTGGGATTCCTCCACGATACCTGTAGAACAAGTTCCCTCGGTTGATGGGGGCGGGCGTGCTGAACAATGCAGCCGTGTGCAGCATTTGGGGTACCTGTGGGGTCTGCATGATTGGAGCTTGCTGGGGCATCGGTTGTGCAACTGGAGTGGGTTGAAAAATCTGTGGCGGTTGTCCCACAGATGCTGGAGTCTGCCTATACCCATATCGATATGCAGGTGGTGCGAAGGCGCCTTGTTGGACTTGTTGACTTTGTACTGGGGTCGACGTTTTGCCACGGTTGTCGGTGACCTGGGACTGCAGCTTATCTACATCACTACGAAGCTTCTTCTCCATGGCCATCTGTTGTTTTGCTCTGTCCAACTGAGATGCGGATATCTTGGCAACATCTGACTTGAAATCTGACCACGACGTGTAGTTGTCTGCGAGGAAGTCGCGCAACACTTCCGGCGTGTTTTCCAGGACAACGTCAAGCAAGTGACACTGCGTGTTGCTGAACCCTTGCGCCGTTCTTGCTATTGTTTTCGCCCACTTTACGTGTCCCCACTCTCTTCCTCTATCTTCCTCTATCATGACACCAATCTCATCCTCCTTTAGAACTATTGCCCGGATGCGATCCTTCTTCTGTGTCACCGTGAGTGTGACCTGTAATGGGGGTGGCCAACGTTTTCGAAAGGCCGCAAGGAACGCGCTCCATGAGGCTGTCTCTGCCGGCGTCAACATGGCATACCACACCTCTGCAGGGCTTGCAGCTGCGCACTGCAGCTCGAATCGCGTGATCTTTTCGGCATCCGAATAGGATGGCGGGAAGGACAACTGGTAGTTCCTCATCCAGTTAGTGGGCTCTTCACCTTTCTCGTAGTCGCCATAGAAGGTTGGCTGTGGTGTTATGGTTGGGACGTTGGTGCTCATGACTGTAGGTAGAGCGGGTGGTGTGATGATACTTGAACCGTAAATCTGGGGAGGTACGAGTAGGTGCGATGACTTCTGTGTAGTGGTTTTCTGTTGGATGAATCTGGTATTGGTGTGAATTATTTTTTTGTTGAACTTTGGGGGTGACAAAATGTTAAGGTCTTGAGAAATGAACTCGTTTGTTGAATGAGGCGGGGACAAATGACTCTCTGATACGACACATCGACGAGCTGCCTTGCCGTCTGTCGGAATGTTTCATAGCTTGCACAGTACTTCGATTGGGATAGCCGTGATGCTGCTCGCTCTAGTCACCAGGTGGAGAGGGCCCTGGGCCTCGACACTGGTGGACAGCAGATGATGGATGATGATGCTACAACATGTGGGAAAGCTACTCTAAAACACCTGCTAGGACCTCGGACACCTCTGAGACTCCAACTCGAACCCCTCTGAGACACCTGCCTCCTCGAATGGACTGACCCCTGATGCCAAACACCCTACTACACCAAGGATCCGGTCAACGGATAGTCGGTAGAGAAGTATGAGCCAGAGGCATACGAGGGCGAGGATGAAGGGGAAAAATGATAGAGGGGCCATGTAGCCGATGTTACTTGTAACAATCAGGACCACAAGGATTTTGCTTTGGCACTGCTTGAAAGGCTCAGTTTCTTGTTTGGGGACATTAGGTGTGATATGGCACTTTTCACCAGGGAGTTCATTGCACGAACTTGCAGCACCACTGTGTGCTATCCACAGCTATTCCTATATGAGGCGCAGCTTTCTCGCGCAACATGCACCATTCCCGCGCTTCGCGATGTATATGCGCGCGTGCTTTCCCATGCTTGAGCGCCTTATAGCGCCAGCCATCCAGAAGCATCCATCCACTGTCCACCAAGTTTCTCTAGTGTGTATATTTCCATTTCTCTCATTCATATATTGTTACACCTTTATTTTTATCATGGACCCTTACTTATATATATCTTTACATACCTACTCGGTAGCGCTTCGGCTCCGCATGACTGCGCTTAGGCACCTATATAAGCGCCAGCAGTACATACTAGAAGGCAACTTACTTTACCTCCCAAATTACCTGTTACTACTTACTTACTACTTAGCAGAACATAGTAGAAATCTATTTGTCTACACTTCGCATCTCTCTTCTCTTATATTACATCATATTATCACTTAAGTCTAACCTCTCTATTGTTTCCGCATACATGCGCACGCTCTCCTGTGGTTCGCGCTAATACGCGCACGTGTTCCCACGCCTTCACGCGCACCTGCACTTTCTCGCACTTCGCTTCAGCGCATACCTCTAGATCTTCGCTGCACTTGCTTCCCCTTTAGGGTCGAACGCACTTGTCTCCTCAAGTAATGCAGACTAGGCAATGCACGACCTTACAACTATTATAGGTACAGTCAGGTGCATTTGTTCGTGCCTCGCTGTATTGTAGTTTCTACACCGCAATACGGTCTCTGGACCATAACTCGACACAATCTTGTGCGTCTTTAACAGTGCGCTTAGGGTAGGTCATTGAGTGGTCGGTGAGCTCTTCTCTCGGGACCAGGCAAATGGGACAAGGACAGGCCGAATTGAGGCCCCGTATTAGCGCCATCACACACCTAATAATATAGATCATTTGTGTTAGAAACGATGTGTTAATGAAATATAAATGCGGATCACTCACTGCTCTTCATAATCAGCCGATAGGATCAGAATTAACGGGAATAGCCAGCGTTGAATTCCATCATAGCACTTGTGTGCAAAGCCAGTTGCAGATAAGAGCAGGATAGTTATGAGCAGGATCGAAAATGATTTGTGCCATACAACATGCTTCAAATTCATGTAGGAAAGTTTGCCATCCTCATCTGAATCCTCAGGAACCTGTAACGAGGGGCGAAGACCATTAATTGAGTCCCATTGACATAACATTGCGAGAACTTACAATCGGTAACCAACCTACCAGGCGCCCTCCTCCGGGACCATCGACATTCCTGATGTCGACTGGTAGATTCCCACAGCGGGCAATTACCGGGTATGCTTTGACAGTACCGGCCAATGAAAGATGAGTTTTGTCAGCATATAATATGAATGCGAACGGCACTCCATTCTCAGGCAACAATGACTAAATGAATCAGTCAGTCACATAGTATACAAAGGGGGATTGATCACACTTGAAGATCCCACCAGCGGTCTCCTGTCCATGGCTCATGGAAGAAGCGCTCAAAGCGAGTCCCATCATGCTTATAAAGCCGCTGAGCGTCCCAGACAAAGTACGGAGCCAACAAGGGATTGACTAATAGGTCCATTGCCCAGTCCCACAGAGGCCGCAAATAAACTTCATACTTGATCATTTCCTTTTTGTAATCAATGGGTATAATATGTTTTTCGAACTGTTTAATTGAACATGGTCATGTACACTTGATACAAAGGCAAAATAAAGTTACATGGCTCTTACTGGTGTCATCTGGCTAGACGCCCTAGCCCATGCAGTTGCAACATCTGTGTGCATTTGGAACGAAAACTTTGTGTGACCATCTGCGACTCACCAGATGAACTTCAACAGCTCATTGGTTTGGTCCTTGTTCAGCGCAGCTTTGTGCATGAACTCAGCAAACTCAAAGTCTGCACGAGAGGTAAAAGGGTGCCAAGGCATATCATCAACAATGGGTGAACGTGGTCCCGATCCGCTCCCATAAGCAGAAAATGTTTCGACAGCTGTTGGGCGACCGCTGTGGGGGTGGAACTCTGTCTTGAACATGTTGGAACAGGCTGAGGTTGTGGCTGTGGCTGCAGAAACTGGAATGAGACAAGGAGGAGGTGCTGCTCCTGCAGAGGCGCTAGCCATGCTTATATCAGAGTTGGAACCTAATAAATGATGTTAGTTATGTGACTCGGGTCAAGATAATAACACATACGTTGTCATGCCTCACCCTCGACGCTCTGTGTGTCATCAAGACCCCCTTCCAGTCCTGCAGCAAGATAATTGTGACCACCATCATAATCATACACGTCATTTACAGTAGCAACAGATGTTGCAGCTGTGCCTCCTGGACCTGATTCGGAGTCTGCAAGCACAGAGACTTGAGCAGATGCGCTGGTGGGGTCATGCTCATGTGTTTGCTTGTGTTTCTTGCTGCGATGATGTTCTGATGCAAAAAAAATTCAATAATCAGTGATTGATTCAGAGGAGATCAAGATATAAAATGTTGATGAACTGTGTTCTCCTTCGTTCAAAATTGAGTGTACTGCAGCCCACGCAAATTCTCTGTCCTCTCTCTTCTTTTCCTTCCGTCGAAGGCAGCTCTGCTCGTGTGACTTGATGCCTCTGGATGTGTAGGATTCATTACAATATTGACATTGGACCTTGATGGTAGATGCAGCAGTTTGCATGTATTTACGCCCTCCGGAGGCTCCAGTGTTGTTTCTGAGTGCAGGCATATGTCACTGTAGTATATTAATATAAACACAAAGAAGAGTTGCTTTGAATTCAAATACAGGACATCGAAAATTGTTCGAGGTATGATCAGAATCGGAATGAGATTGTAATCAGTTGCTGACATAACTGAATCCTTGGAAGGCACAAATACATCTTGCAAGTTACCAAAAATAATGTCACTTCCTTGGAATGCTCTAAGAATATACCATGGTTGCTTGGAAGAATCTTGCATTGCGGATGCAATACGGCTAAATGATGTCTCAATTTGGAAACATTGCAAGGCACCTATGGAATTTTCTGACATTGCAAGAGTAAAATGTTTCTTTTCTTTCATATTCACTGGCAATTGGGTCACATATCCGTGCGCCCTTGTTCATTTGTTTGACAAGGTTGACGACTGTCCCAACGAGGATACCGGCATGTGGATAGTCCGTCCAAGTGTTCACAATGATGGAACCCCAAACCTCGCTGTTATTCATATCAATACAGTCTACCATGCAGCACATCTAATCCCTGTCTACAGTCCCGATTTCATTCCTAGTGACATGAAATACTTTCATTCTTATGATATTTTCCGCTCATTTTATGTTAACAAATACGCTGATCACCATGCCTTCGAGATCGCATCGTAATTGCCCCACAACATCTCCTACCTACTACATTCATGCACTGCATCATCATCCATCAATGCTGTTGATGACAAAGTCCCTACTCTGTGCCTCTCATTGACGACGAGGTAGTACTAGCACCGGCCACTTGTTTTCTAATTGTAAATTCTACCTCACTTAATTCACTTGTATAATGTACTTCGACCTTTTCGCCCTTTGGGTGCTTGTGAATCACGCGATTACTTGTGGGCACTTGTGCACAAGTATATAAGTTGAAATAAGTAGTAACATTTTGAATATTTTCGTGACAAGTGGCTGAAAAGCTGGTTAAGGAATCCGCGAATTTACTGATGTGCACATGTCTATTAAATTATACATGTCAGTTCCACAAAAATTAAGGTACAATCTTACCTGGTCCTCATTTTCCTTGTTGCATGAATCAGTACCGACTCTCCTCTTCTTCCATGGTAAGTTGGCCATCCAGGCCATTACTTTGCGCTTGCGCCCAGCCATGCTCAAGGTAGAATTACTTACAAGCTCCGCCATGGCACATACACAGTACTTTTCGGCAAATAAGTACTCTCCAACTCGAAATTTCAACATAACAACACTTCCTGTTGTTGTCTCGGAAAACGGAAAGCGCTCATAATTTTTTATCATTTTTCTGCATCGTTGTGCGATGCGATATTTTTCATATGTGTCGTAGTTGAATTGTGATGTATATTTTATCTACTTGTAACGCTATTGTCACGATTTGTCACGTGAGTCTGATGAACGCGCTTGAGAGCTACCTTAGGTCTTTAGGTTTTCACACATCATTCAGACCAAGTGTCGAGGCTGCGCCTCTCCAGCGGGGTACAGGAAAGTTATACAAGTGCATACTTTATCGCGGCACAAGTAACTAGGGGAGCTCAAAGTTGAACGCCCAACGCCCAAGCCCAACGCCTAACGCCCAACCTCGTGACCTATTTAGAATAAATAGAAATAAATACAACGCAAACCACATGCAAACCCTAACAAACCCTACGCATTACATCATTGTCCGCGCGCTATCAACGAGGCAGCGCCGAAACGCTGCCACCGTTCTGCAGCTTCCGCTTTGTCTCTCGCCAACTGTGTGGACCCCTTTGCCTCGTCTCCCAACTGTGTGGACCATGGCCCGACGATCCAAGAAATCAGCAGGACCACCTATTGGTGACATAGAGTGGACCACACCACTCACTTGGTTGCTCCTTGCTCAGGCCGAGAAAGCAGAGAATAGGAAGATGCTACTTGGGGAAAAAAAGGACGAAGTAAGCTTATTCCTATTTCATCTTGTTGGTACTGCAGCTGAAATACCACCAGAATACATTGAAGGATACAAAGATTGCAGTCTTCAAGTGCATTGGATCTGTTATCCTTGCGGACCTGTATGCCATCAACCCTGACGCAGTTGGGGACCGCGTGAAGAAACGGTTCGACTAGTATGTGACTGGCATGAAATTTCTATATCTCTGCTAATTTATCTATCTGCTAATAGCCTTGTCAATCGTTACAAGCATCATGCACGCCGGCTCAGAACTACAGGCGAGGGCCTCCAAGATGACAATTTGGGAGATGAACCTGACGAGGAGCATTTCAATCACTATGTCCCTACTTCTGGCCCAGATGACTCGACTCCGACGCACATCAAGAGCATATGGGGTGAGTAATATTTGCAATTTGCGTTCTATACTGAGCATGTTGATGAAGCGTGAATGGTGTGCTGGATTTTGTGCATATTCCCATGCAAGGTGAAGTGAGCCAGCTTTGAGCATTGGGGGTCTTTCTCGAAGATAACGAAAGTGCCTGATAGCAAGAATGCAAGAGATATCAAGGTCAAATTCATGGGCAGCCTCTTCTGGGGTCCGTGGTGGCTGAAGGATGCTTCGTAATATCATATGCAGGATATAGTTTTGTAGATATTGGTGGTGTAGACTTGTACGAGCCATGGCTGTAGTGTATTGATCACCTTCAGTGACAATGATGCTTATCGATAAGATTTGCTTATATAAGTTTGTTTATTTCGCGCGGGGCGATGATGTAATGCGTAGGGTTTATTAGGGTTTGTGTTTGGTTTGCGTTGTATTTATTTCTATTTATTCTAAATAGGTCACGAGGTTGGGCGTTAGGCGTTGGGCTTGGGCGTTGGGCGTTCAACTTTGAGCTCCCCTACTGTATCCATTCCTCCCAGGTATAACACACTGGATCATTCATGAAATCGTTTCACTGATACAGTTTTGTAGGGCATAGTTTACTCGGGAAGAGGAGATTGGATTGAGCTCAATGTGTTCGAAACTAGAGGCAAGACCATTCTCTAATTGGGGGTCTTCGTGATATTGATATATTTTCAGAGTCGGACGTCGAGGAACGTAGTCATCATTGGTCATTCTGGGGTGGGGAAAAGTTCACTCATTAACATGCTTTGCCCCTCGGCCGACGCTCCTGTATCAAATGACGTTTTCGGTTGCACAACGACAGAACGAGCGTACTTATGTGACCTTGGGAGACAGCAATCCTGTATGGTACACGATACAATCGGTCTCGAAGAAGGGTCTTGGGGCTTCCTTTGGGCCCCGAAAGCAGAGAGGCGGCTCAAGTCATACTTGAAGAAGAGCAAACCTCACCTTGTGGTGTACTGCATGCCAGGAGTAAGACGCTATTTGAAGAAATCGTATGGGCGAAGCTTTAATAAATTCAAGTCGATGGCGGGAAAGGTGCCCATTGTAGTGGTTGTCAACCACTTGGAGGATTCCCGGCATTCGGAAGACTGGTGGTCAGCCAATCTGGATGTACTCCGAAAAATTGGTATTCCGGAGTCTACTCAACATGCGTGCGTCACCACCCTACCCGAGGTCGACTTCATGTATGAAATCTATGGTTCATCCAAGCGTGGAATCTATGATTCATCCCGCGAGGCTGTCAAAGCCCTGATCATGAACAACCTTCCCCAATACTAGATGTGTAATCTGAAGAAAACACTCGGGAGAAAGTTTGCATAACAGAGAAAGATACTGTCCCTCATCTCACGAGGCATTGCAGTCTTTCTCGAGACGTCGCAAGCCAGTTGGCTAGTATGAGGTAGATCATGTAAGAGGATACTTATTTACTTTAACCCCTCTCTATGCCTTATGCTCATCGGATTGGACTTCGTCCTTGTCAATGATACGTTACACATGAGTTGATACATACCCGTCGTACTATATAATCCTAATATTATGTCACATCGCAATCAGTCTCCCTTCGTTTCATGCGCGAATATTCCATCTCTGCAGATATCGATATATAACTTACTACAACATGAATAGCAAACAGGCAGATAAGCTTGACAGTGACAGGAGTGGTAACATTCTTCGACCAAAAAACCACCATCCAATTGGTCTCAACAACCGTTCATTCTGATTTATTTCGCACCAAGGATAATTTCGGCCCAGCTTTCACACAAATACGATCTTCGCGCATGCACGCTGTGTGAGTTCAAGTATTTCAGTCCCGGAAGTTACTAGTGATTAATTTTAGAGGTCTTGGAGCATTACTTCGGTGGAGAGATCATCAGGTTCATTATTACGAGCGGAGAAGACTGTGTGCGTACGGAAAGAGGAGGGAAGGAGTTCGCGGGGGTCGGAGTGTAACTGGGGTGAACCTCTGTAGAAGAGGGTATCTGCGGTGGAGGGGAAAGAGTAGGTGATTGCTGCATGTCAGGAAGCGGTAGCATCTCGGTAGGCTGTATGCGTTGTAGAGAGTGGGAAGGGAAGCTCAGTTGTACAGTTGGTGAGGCCTCGCTAGTAGGTTGATTCTCAGAGAGAGAGAGCGCACCAGACTGCAAAAAAAATGGTATTAATGGAGTGGTGTAAACGAACAAAAGAAAGGGATAAGTACATCAGTGAGGAGTAGGTTTTTTGGAGCGCTGGTCTGAAAGAAATGTTAGCGCATGAATGATTCGGGTTTAACTGTGCACTCTAACTTGTGGTACAGGCCGAATGGTATCGAGGATCTCAGGGGGAGTGTTGCATAAGTAGATGCTGTTGTTGCGCTTGGCGGTATAAACTAGTTGACGCGAGTCGAGTGAGAGAATAAGGTGGCGGACGGTAGAAAGAACATTGAATGAGGCGAGGGGCTGGCGGGACTCGAATGCCCAGAGCTTGATGGTGTTGTCATGAGAAGCATTGGCGAGGAGAGCACAATCAAGTGAAAGTGCTAGTCCAAGTGATGGTTTGGGTGTGTCTTTTAAAGGGGGCTTCGATAGTCTCCAGCGTAGATGGGTCGAACTGATAGATCGTCTTAATTTGAGCCCTGGCTTTAAAGCTGAATGCGGTTACTATGGTTTTGGTCGTCCAAAACACCGGCGCATATGTACCAGAATAAATCGAGCCCGTTTGTTCGCCCGTGAAAACATCCAATTTTTGCGTTTGGATATCCCACACTTCAAGGAGCCTCCCCACATCTGACTTGACCGCGAGCTTGGTGGAGTCTTGCGAGAATCGAATTGCACCCACCCAGTCGGCACTTCGGAATGGACCAGCCACGAGTTTGCCTATTTCCAAGCTCCATATCCGCACTGTACCATCCCATGACCCGCTCGCCAGTAACGTGCTGTCCTCGGAGATATCGATGAAGTTGATCCTCTGTGAGTGACCTTCAAATCTTCTCACGGTCTTCGTCTTCACCTTTCGAGCTCCCCGATTAGACTCGTGACCAGTCTGACGTACGTCACATGAGAGTGGGGAATTTTTGACGTAGTCAGACTGGTCTAGGGTTCGGGATAAAAGTATTTCGGCAATTATTAGCAAGCTTTTTAGCCAGGTAGGTCTGGGGGAGTTATTAACTAGCGGATTATTAGCTGCTTTTTAGCCAATCACGTGATATTGATTTTTAGCAGGCGAAAAACTCGCTAATAATCCTAGCTAATTAGCCAACGCAAAAAACACTCATTCCCATACCTCCGACCACTCGTCATCGCTTCCATTGGTATCCTCAGCCTCAGCCTTGCATTTGCCCTTCCCTGCGCTGTCCACGTTAGGTCGCGATTCTGCCAACACTGCCAACAAACCATCCGCACTCAAATCTACCTCAGATTCAACGTCGAAGTCGGTGTTTGTCACCATGGCTGCCGCAGAACTCATTTGCACATGATCCAACCACATACTGGACTCGTCGTCTTCAATTTCTTCAACTCCTTCAATACTTTCAGTTGATAGCAAGCTGTTCTTCGCATCATGATGTCGTTTACCCTCTTTTGCTTCGGATCCAAACAGCTCAGTGTCAAGGTTGTAGAAATTGACAGTTGGGTGTTCGGGATGTTTGTACTACGCTCGTGTAAGCAATGAACTGAAAAATTTTGGTGGCCACTTACAGTAGAATCATACATGTACCATTGCTGGACCTGTGTCATGTCCACGAGGGTGCGAACATCTTGACGATTTCGCAGCGCAGAATTTATCCATGTAAATACAGACATTGTACGCTCTTCTGGCATCGAGCTTGGTCGAATGGAAAATATCTTGATGGCGAGGGTCTTTACTATCAGAGTGAGTGAACCAGGGTCAATTATATGAGCCACGAACTGACAGCAAGTATATTTCCCTCTGGAATTCTCAATACGTGCATCCACCATGATAATGTTGATTAACCATCTTCGAGTGGAGTATCGAATGGATATTGACCACATGCATAATGTTCAAATTGACGAAGAAATGATTGCTGAGCCTCCCGACCAGTTAGTTTGTTGAGAATTGTGTTCTCTCTCATCTTCTACTCCACCTCAAGAAGAGCTTTCAAGAATATGAGCACACAAGCAAAGATAGCGTAGTTTTGGATGGGAGGACCAGAAGAGTCAGATGACAAGGCCTTCACACTTTGCGCAGGAAGCACAATTGTAAGAGCGAGAGGGTTCAAGTTCTTCTGGAATATTTTGCTGTTGACATAACCTGTAATGCAATAGCTATTGGTCAGGTTAGAAGACTGTATTGTTATGCTTACGAGGATGCAAATAGAGAGCAGAGATGGTGTCACGAGTTCCAAATACAAACCATTATTCATTCCTAAATTCTAAGTCCTTTAAGTGTCCAGTCACAGTGCCTATAGCTAAGAAGACATTTACTGTTGAAGAAGTTCCTATTATTGCGTCCATTGTAGAATTACCAGAGTCACGTGACTTATCGGACAATGCCGAAGATATTGACGTCATGCCTCGCGACACTCTTGGAATGTTCCAGAGTCTTACCGCGACTGCGGCACATGTTATGACATCATAATTATATATAGAATCATACGATACCTTTAATTATTCTGATTGGTTAGTTAGTTCATACTCAGTTTCGATCTCAGTTTCAATATGTGTATATAGGTAGCTCGACGTAGTTAGTAGTTCTTTAGTTCAAACCTCTTGTATCTCCTAGTGAGCAATCCAAGATGTACCTGCTGCCTTATCCTCTTTGTGATTATCTTGTTGTTTGAGTCCTAGTCTCTGCCCTGCATTAATTCGTTTAAGGGGTTGTGACAGATGGGTGCATCAGTTGGACCCTCAGACAAGGCTTTGCGGAATTGAGAGTTGAAGATTGCACGAATCTGGCCAGCTTCTTCTGGTGAGAATGGGTTGTTGTTGTTGTCGAAGATTTGTTTTAGCGTAGCACCAATTGCAAAATAAAACAAGCTGATGTCTGACAAATCAGTCCGCGATGACTCAAGACAAGCAATTGATTTTGCAATTGGTGCAAGGATGAGTGTGAAGCGAGTGATTTGAGACTCAAAATCCAAGGAATGAGAGGAGCTGCTCATGAGAAGGCCAGTGAGCCCTGACTTGTGGGATGGGAACTTCACTTGATGAGTGTCGACGATCTGGCGGAGTGTGGGGAAACAACGCTTGAGTGACAGTGCCAAAATGCAGACAGTTGCAAAGCGAGTCTTCCCTATGCCTTCGAGACCACGGTTGATATTCATTGACTTGCGAGCTTTGTTAAGAGCATCAGTAGCTGCATGTGATTTTCGAAAGTAGGTGATTATTGATCGAAGATGTTTGATCATCTGTCAGTCAAAGTATTAATTCAAGTTGCGAGTGACAAGGCTGGACACTCACCATTGAAAACATGCTCAATTGTGTGATGTCCTTACACAAAAGATTAAGATGGTGGCAGATATCGGGAACTTGGATAAGAGTCTTGATTTCCGCACATAAAATCTGGCAGGCAATCCGAGTATTTCCTGTATTGTCAGATGTGACACCTGCAAAATGACTCCATCCAATGAGATTGATTGCTTTCAGTACTATCTGAGCAATGAACTCGCCTGTGTGCGACTCATCAGAGCACTCCTTGCCTCAAATTAGGAAGCTCCGTCCATCTGGTGTTGTGAAGTGAATGGTGTATACTGCCTGCTGGCATTTTGTCCCTCCTCCGTCAAATGAGACCGTCAGGTTAAAGTTCAACTTGAGAAACTGAATGATTAGATCTCGCACGCGTGCAGCCTCCTTCAGGATATGACTGTCAGCAATGGTTGAACATGATGCTGGATGATAAGCTGGATTGGCAATCATGAGCATATCCTTCCATTCCTGATAATCTGCGATGTGTGGTGGTAGAGCTGCGGCACAGAAAATTTTGACAATGGCAAGGTTCATACGAAGAGTGAGGATTTTCTGTCCTTCATTCTTGAAGTCTAGTTTGATCTGTGTAGTAGTCTTCTTCGGCACAATACGATCATCTGCCTCCACAGGAGAGTTGGGCAAGGGGGCCTGCAGCTGCAACTCATTTGCCTTTAAGGCAGTTTTGAGCTTTGCACTGGCACTGTCTCCACCCAAATACTGACTTGCAGCCTGGTGAAATTTGTCCTCCACTTTACCACAAGCAGCAGCGTGCTTGAGACAACGGGCAAGGTTTTGTGGATAACCAAGACTATAATCACAACCTTTGCCTAGACACCGAAACCGCTGGTCCTTCGCACCAAGTTTTTTCGGATCAGGGTGGTATGCCTCAAATATGTCATCAAGGACACTCATGTGAGGCCGCCCCATCAATCGGCCCATCTTGGCCTTCTTTGCCAGTGGGATAGCCTTCAAGTTCACCTCGTACAGCAAATCATCATTTGAGCTGGTGGAGGCTACCTGTCAAATCATTCGAGGCCGTTAGCTGCTGATCATCACAAAGTTGCATTTGAACCTTACTGTAACAAGCTGGCGCTTTTTGAGCCCGTACGAGCATGAACAGGCTGCTTTTTGGGTGCAGTGGGAATTGGACCTGCCTTCTGTAGGATCTCGCTGATGGTTCATCCCATGATGCTGTCATTATCACTAATGTCAAAGTCAGATGAAGGCTGGGGTAAGAGAATGTCATCGGAGTCCTGGGGTAAGAAGATGTCGTCAGAGTCCTGGGGAATGAAGATGTCATTAGACTCGGAGTCTGTTGCATGAGATGGGGGCTGGGGTAAGAAGACTTCTCCAGATTTGATCTGCTGTTCGTAGCATTAGTAAATAATCACAGATGGCAAAAAAACTGATTCTCACAGATAATGTGCGAAGGTGGGCATCAATGATGGCCACACCAAACTGCATTCGAGCTCCATCGAGTGCATTGCAATCAGGCAAGAGGAGAGGATAAGTTTCTGGAAGAAAGTGATGGGCAATTGCATTGACAGCGAGTATGCCACACAAATATTGATCTTGTTGGCGAGTGCAGGCAAGAGGTTGCCAGACAAACAAAACAGGTGTATGCAATGCAAGCCACCACTCGACTGCATGACAGATTGAATCTGGTGCTTCATGGCATCCAAACGAGTCTCCGAAGTAAATTGTGTGACCTGAACCGTCGATGACAAGAGATAACCAATGGTTGGAGTGGATGAAGCAAGTCATTCCAACAGTCTTCGTGTTATCAGCAATGTCTGCCCAATCTCACGAAGTTGTGAACAATCATCTGCACAAAAATAATCTTTCTGATGGCATGACTCGAATGTAGTTTTGAGTTTATTGACAAAGTATGTTTGAAGGATGTCACAAAACAGGGCAAGGATGAGGCTACTTTTGATCTGCCGAAGAATGAGTTCAAGAACAAAGTTGATGTTGTTGTCGCAAAGCCAGCTTCGTGAGGCAAATTGTGCGAGCTTGCTTATAGGTGAGTAATCCATGAAGCCGGAAACATTACCCTCCAAAGAAAGCATTGACAAACGTGCCCAGAAGTCAGATGCCACTGACAGATTGGGCTTCGGGCCATGCAACTGTTGCTCTACAAAACAACATGCTGCCTGCCATTTCATTAACGGAGGGATAATATCTTTGGCGACGCAATCCCAAAATGCAATTAGCCAGAAGGGGTATCTATACATCAAGTTGGTGTGAGCGTACACGATAGAGCGGTTCCCAGCGCCCCAAGCCTCTGGCGCTATGCAAACAAGTGCCGTAATGATGGGCTCAATTGGGATTGGCAGTGAAGATAGGAGAGCGTGATCAATCGGGCTGGAGTCTGGGGGCTCCAAGCAGAAATATTGGTGAATACTTGGCAAAGCAGCCTGATGGGTGGAAGTGACAGATGGAATGGCAAACTTGATGAATGTGGAGATGGGAAGGTCTGAGGTGGGAAAAAGAGTTATGGCCAGATATTCTGGAATGGAGTACATCTGCATGAATCCAACATCAGTGTGACCGTGATGCTCGACGTCGTCGTGAACCTCAATGGTATTCATAAGGGTGATACTTTGGTGTGGGTGTGGTTGGTTCAACTTGATTGAAATGATTTGCAATGTTGAACGGCACGCACGGCATGGCTCATACCGGAAAATTTTAAAACCATTATCTATGGTAACTAGTCAATCATCTGTCAGTAGTAGAAGCTAGCCGGTCGACTCAGAATACTATTCCTGACCTGATCGCTCAATATCTGAGGCACAGCCAGCTGTAGGGAGTTATTAGCATTATTAGCCTTGTGATTTTTGCGATGAGTTATTAGCGTGTTAATAGCTAGTTATTAACATGCTAATTAGTATGCGGCTAATAAGCAGGGACTTTTCTCCCGAACCCTAGACTGGTCGATCTTGGAGAGATTTGGCAGGCGAAGCACGGAGTTTGAATTTTAGCAGGTGCCGGTTGTGCCGGGTGTCGTTGTACATCCAGACATTGTACAGACGCTATACTGTTTTGCTACATCTCTATGTTATGACATGAGTTTCAACATTGGTTCTGTATTGCCAATGTCCCTACCAGCTTTGAATGCTCTTTTCAGAAAACCTTCCAACAGACTTTACAAACACTTTCAATGATACAGATCCAGCAAGTACTCGAAGCTTTCGCGCACCTTGATTTTGTCTCGAAAGGCACCATTATTTCAACTCAAGGCTCTCGTATCTTTGCTTGCAGGAAGACATGTGGTTCTTCGAGCTACAACGGGCTCCAGAAAGACACTCTGCATGATTTTCATCAGTAAACCGGTGAGTTCTTGCCGGGGATTATGCTGATTATGGTGCTTTTACATGGTCATATATTGCTTTATATCACTTTATATTACAATGTGACGAAAACCTTTCCTATATATTACAATATATAACGATATATGACGATATCTTCTTCTCACAGGTTCTCTGATGACTTACCATTGCTTCTCTCCCCTGACATAATATGGAGCAAATGGTATCATTTAAAGTATCCTATTTCAATTTTAGTGATGCAGCGCAAACGCAAGAAAGATGCGGTACTCTATGCAGTGCGTGAACGAAAGTTTCTGAGTGATTGATAGTCGACAGTAACTATGTAGTACTATTACTTCAACCGGCACGACCAGCACCTGCTAAATTGAAACTCTGTGCTTCGCCTGCCAAATCTCTCCGAGATCAACCAGCCTGGCTATGCCACTCGACTTGTCCGTGGTTATATAAGCCAGGCTGGTCCTGAGCCTACTCCCCGATGTTGAAATATCCACCTGCAGAGACAACCCATCGACTGTTCCTTGATACCCTCACAGCATATACTTCCTGCTCACAAACATCCTGTGCATCTTCAATCTCCTTATCTGCTTCTAAGTCCCATTGATGAGTGGTCTTATCGCCTGGCCCGCTGATCATTCGCTTCCCATCCGGAAAGTAGGATATGGATGGAGTAGCATTTTTGTGACCCTCTAAGGTCAACACGGGTGTCAAAGTCGATTTCTTTGCTGCCACAGTGGGCTGTGGCAATTTGGAAGTTATGTTCTATTTCTCCGCCAGCGAGGTTCAGCATATGCGGGAATTTTTTTATCTGAAAGTATTTGAAGGACCGTCGGTGAGGCTCTCTCGTATCCTGAAGCTTGATGTTAATAGTGATTTTGAAGGAGATACCCAACCACTGGCAGCTGGTAGGTACACTTTACCTGCCAAAACTGATCATCAGTTTGACAGCGCTGACAGCTCAGGCTGTTCTGAAACTTCTGATGTTACCTAGAGGCTAGAAAATTGGAGGAAGAGCGAGGGATATAGAATGTGCCTGCATCTCGAACCATATTCAGGTACTTCCTAACAAGCCCCTTCGGCATGGTGCCTGTGCATTACATAGTGCTGCCGTGGTCCGGTTTGGTCCGGTTCAGAGGGCCCAGGACAAGAACCGAGAACCGGACCACAGAGAACCGTTCTCTGTGGTCCGGTTCGGTTTTTTTATGGTCCGAACCTGAACCCAACCCAAAAATTTCAGTACAGTAGCTAGTCCAATAACATAGCTTTTATTAACAAATGCAAAGACTATTACATGGGTGATGTGATAATATAACACGTTGATGGAAATTCGATGATCCTTCATAGGCGGCAGCATCGAAGTGCACATAGTTCATCACATTCTCGTCAATCCTCTTTGCAATATCTCAAATGGAGCAGCTTGTATGTTCGAAGTGTCCAAGAATGCAAGCATGTCAATCTTCGCTGCAGGATTCTCCAAAAGGCGGAAAGCCACATAATGAGAGCCGTATTGATGAAGACTGACCGATTCGCAAGGACACACTCTGACATTTTCAAGTAAGGCGTAAGAAATGGTCGAGAGATGAATGATACTACTCACCGACGGCCAAAACCAAAAGTGAAAAACCAGAGATCATTGCGCACATGACCTGCATCGTCAATCCAACGTTGAGGATTAAACCTGTGTGGTTCGGGGAAGACTTCAGGATTGTTTGCGATAGCCCTGAAGCACAAGCATCAAATGCAAAGGTGAGAGGACGAAAATGATTGTGTACTGACCAATGGTTGCCAATAACAGTCGCACCTGCAGGAATGAGGTAGTTCTTCCAAATGATGTCCTTAATTGTGTGATGCGCAAAGCCTGTAGTGCAAGGTGGTCATTCAACATCGCGTCATCACAACTCAAATAAAATGTACCTCCAAAATCAGTCAGTAGACAAATAAAGAAAAGAGATAACCTATATGTATGAGTGGCAGCAGCGATCATCATAATTGTGATTGCGGACGTAGCCTACAACAGTTGTCGAGTGAAGACGCGATGCAATGTAAGAACTTACCGCAGACAGCAAGTCATGTAAGAGATTGATTAATTAGTACTTACCTTTGAAAAGGCTAAAGGTAGCCTGATTAACCAATACTGTAGTGTTTCGACCTTAGGTTCGTCACAACGTCGCTAGCCTGACAAACTGAACCTATTTTTTGTGACAGACACAAAAAATGGGTGGACGAACCTAAGTTTGTGACATTATGTTCGTATGCAATTTTTGTAGAAAATATGACCTATAACCTATACTAATGCTGCTCGTATGCATTGTATTGCTTGTTAGCAAGACGCCTCCGCTTTCCTCTCCCAAAGACCTCAGGTTCTCCAGCGACAACAACTTCTTCGAACATGTCAGCAGCTGTATCAATGCGAAGCGAACCATTTGCATCAGTGATGTACCCGTCAGGTACACGATCCTTGCCTGATGCAATGAACTCTAGCAGGAGCGACAATGGGGCCTCGTCACCAGGCTGTTCATCAACATTGGCAACATGGTCTTCATCCAAATTGGTGTCGGCATCACCTTCTGCACCATCATCAGCTTGATGAGGGCTGATATTGAGAGATCGGGAAGAGGGATGAAAGATGCGAAGTAAGGGGGTGGTGTCAACAGGTGATGGTGATCCTGCAAGACAGGCGGAAATCTGAGAACTAGATCACTATGAGGAAACATGATGAGTAACAGTGAAAAACCAAATTGCAGGAAACATACCTGGCAGTAATGTTTATATTATTCAAAGCGGCCTAGGCAGATCTGAAGTCACAACAGAAGTGCAACTCCCAGAGCACTAAGCGAGGACATTGATGGCAAGCATTGACGACTCACAGAAGTGCAACTCCTAGAGTACTAAGCGAGGACATTGATGGCCGAACTTGCGACTCGGAGGTCCTTGATGCATAACTTTGGAGCCTCGGACGAACCTAAATTAGGTTCGTCGCACGTCGCAAAGGTCGACGAACATGTCACAAACCCGTTACGTAATGCAGTGCATATATTCCCACGAACCTAAGGTCGAAACGCTACAGTAGTGCGAATCCCGAAGACAACAGTCTGACGTGGAGACCGAAGTTGTTGTCACAGTCGAAGTCGAAGTCGATATTGGTTTGGAATGGTTCGGCCTTGCCGAACCAGAACGGGACCGTTCGGGAAGACCTAGAACCGAGAACCATTTTCCGGTCCGGTTCTGGCTGGTGTGAGAACCGTGGACCGAACCGTGGAGAACCGGACCAAAAGTCCGGTTCGAACCATGGTTCTGGACCGGACCGCGGCAGCACTAGCATTACAGCATTTATTTTTATTCGCTTTCTGATTTCCAACAAATCTACTTACCTTTCGGTTCCCTGCCACAGCCATCTCCGTTGTCGCTGCCGCATCACCGAGCTTACTGTGCAGTTGGAAAGGAATCAGAAGTTCAGAGTCAGAATTGGCAGGTACGACACATCTCATTTTATGGCTCCATGAGCGATCCATGGAAAGACGCTTTCACAAAGTTCAGGGAAGCTGAACTATCTTCGTGCGATCTCCTACATCGCGATCCATCGTCCTGTCAATGCTCGTTGTAGTTCATTGAAGTGTTCTATAGCAATCCAGACCGCAAAACACGATGCGGAGGACCCTTTATACAATGGTGAGTGTCCAAGTGACAACATTCAGAAGTGGAACGCTGCTTCCCCCAATAGAAAAAGTACACTGAAAAGTACTAGAAAGGATGAACTTCAAAGGCAATTACGACCACTAGGAAGATTACAACAAGAAAGACGAGGATCTGTTTTGATTGCTGATACGTTGCATATAGCCGAGTGATAATGATTACTTGCAGGACATTTCAGTCAAGTCAATATTTGCAATATTGCTGAGGTACTACTGCATGTAACTAAGTACTTAAGTACCGCTTAGCGTGAACCGTTAGCACAATGAAATTCGACCATGTTTGCACTCTAGAAATGGTAGCACCTGGATCGTTTTATTTACACAGCTACTGGTGACCATGGAAGAACCCGAAGGTGCACTTACAGCTGTTGCAGCCATTACATTGAATTAATGAATGGGTCGAAGATCTCACTCACCTACTCACTACGTTTGTTAAAGAGACTGAAGCAAGACTTGGATGTCACCCAACAAACACTTGCAAGTGAAGATAAGTACATAGAATGCGGTCGATGAAGGGGGTGGCTGTGCAACTGCCGAGCTTGTCATTGACCATAATCTGATCGATATCGATCATGGGCAACGAGAAGAAGAATACAAGTAAAGCAGCTGCGAAGGCGGCCAAAAAGCAGAAAGCGGAAGCCAAGATTTCTAAGAAAGAAAAGAAGAAGATCAAAAAGACGACCGATGCACCTCCGGAGGATGAAGATTTAGAGGCCATCCTCGACAAGGTGATTTTTATCGCATGCATCTGAGATCGAGCTGACCTAACGATGCCTGCTAGTAGATGAACCGCGAATGGGAAGATGCCCATAAGGTCACTGAGGAACTAGTCGAGGGCCCACCTTCTCGGCGCGCGAACGCGACTCTGACGCCTTGCCCAAGCGGAAACTACTTGTGGTGCATCGGAGGTGAATTCTTTAGTGATGACGGCAAAGCCTACTTTTACAACGACGTCTACCGCTACAACCCTGACAAGGATGAGTGGCGCAAGTTCGTGAGCCCTACGTGCCCTGGGCCTCGCAGTGCACATGCCGTGGTGACTTCGGCAGCTGGAGGAGGAAAGCTATTCTTGTTCGGCGGCGAGTTTAGCTCATTGTATCAGAACACGTTCCATCACTACAGGGATTTTTGGAGCTTTGATATCAGCACTCATTCGTGGGATCGCTTGGATACTAAGATCAGGCCCAGCGCGAGATCAGGACATCGGTGCGTAAGGAATACTTTTGTGCCCCCTTTAGTTCTCAGCGTGGTACAGGATGGCAATGTGGAAGCACTACATCGTTCTATTTGGCGGTTTTTATGACCCAGGGCATCGCAGTATGTCTCCAGCATGTGATCCCGCTTGTTCGTTTTGCACTGATATATATGAAATATCAAGCCCAGTATCTAAATGATACCTGGGTATTTGATACTCAAGAGTATAAATGGCGACAAATCGAATTCAAGGATATGGATCGGAAACCGTCGTGCGTTGTTCCCTGTCATTCATTCCTGTGAATTGTACCTAGTTATACATCGGTTACTACGCAGCGCAAGAAGCGGGTTCTCATTTCTTTCTACGCCAGAAGGCATTGTTTTACATGGTATGTATGCAACTTGGTTATCAGATGCCACTTCCCTATTATTCATGCAGGAGGCTATTGTAAAGAATACATCAAGGGTAAACGTCCTATTGGCGTAATGCTCGACGATACCTGGTTTCTCCGGTAGGATTTTGCATCTCCTGCTCCCTGTCCAAATTAAACTCGCACACAGCATGTCCCTCGAAACTTCCCAATCTCCATCATCGTCCACAGTCTCCTCGGATCCACTTAGTTTGAAATGGGAAAGGCGAAAGAAACCATCCTTCGCGCCGCATATCCGGAGTGGCTGCACAATGGCGCTGTGGTCGGTCAAGGGTATGGGCGTCCTGTTTGGCGGCGTGACAGATGACGACAGGGATGAAGAGAGCCTCGAGAGCGTATTTTGGAATGATCTGTAAGTCATCGGAAGGAGCCTGAGTCACCGTGCGGAATGTTCTTGCATGGTTTCATACAGTGTCATCTCGTGAGGCACTATCTTGGCTTGTGGTTGTATTGATGGTGGAACCGCAGACTAACCGAATCTTGCATAGCTACGGATACCAACTTGTTGGCAATGGGCGTTGGCAATCAATGACACTCAAGAAGTTGAAAAAAGCAGGGAAAGGTGGAAAGCGAAAGGCTGCAGCTGTTCAGCAAGGAGAATCGGACGAAGATGACGATGGAATCAAGACTCAAGAGGTCAAGAACACCAAGGTCAATTTTCATTCATGTGGATGGTGTCGGATATTGAGATGAGACTAGCAGGACCTTGATGTTGATCCTGATGACCCAATTCTAACGACCCCAATACCACGGTACAACGCTATGCTAACTGTGCTTAGGAATACGCTGTACATGTACGTGGATCTTTGCTATGACCATTGTGTACTGCCCGAATCATTCTACCCCTATCAGCTATGGTGGTATCTTTGAGCGTGGGTCAAGGGAATACACACTCGATGATTTCTACTCGATCCAGCTCGACAAGCTCGAAAGATACACGTGTCTCAAGCACAGCGGCATCGTTATTCCAGCGGAGGGCGACGAGAGCAGCAGCGATGAGGATGACGATGGTGTAGAGAGCGACGAGGATGGTGATAGTGATAATGAGACCCGGGTAGAGGAAGATGATGAGGGGCTCAACCTTAAAAAGCTCGATGATAGTCACGATGACGAAGAAGCTGATGAACCCGTAGATGTACGAGTGAGTGCACACATTATTTTATTGTGTGGTACAATGAAAATTGATGAAACTTCAAGCACGAGGTACGTGCGCAAGCGACGGCATTCATGGGTGTATCCAGAGACACGGCGCGCTCTGCGGAGGATGTGATTAGCACACCAGAACCGGGAGAGACACTAGCTCTGTTTTATGCTCGAAGTCGTAAGCTTCACTTTATCCCAGTCTTGTTTCAGTCCTGATCATCATGAAGGTGAATACTGGACCCAGAAAGCACACGGAGTGAGCGATAATCGGGGCAAACAACTCAGGAGGGATGGTTTTAGTTTTGCAGAAGAACGATATGGTACGTCTGGTCGCGGTTGGTCAGCATTGATTATGAGTGCATTCATTTTGTTACCCCGTTAGCGGAGTACAAACCTATCCTCGAAGAAGTAGAGAAGATCCTGGCCGAGGCCGGCCTCGATGAGGACGAGATGAGAGCAGGTGCTGCTCAGACTGGCGGAGGCGGAGGCATCGCGTCAAGTCGGAACCGTCGGTGAATGGTTGAATACTACAAATATATTTGAGAGGTGTAAAAAAGTCATTGAATAGCGATATGGTCAGCACAAGGAGGCCCGCACTCACCTAGTGACATATACTTATTTATGACGGACGCTAAGTTAGAAATTTAATCCAAATGAGCCTCACCTCACACGGCGTACTATTCTACAACAATTTCTTGAGGCTGTCATCGTCTGCTCAGTAATCTTTTTCTTTGTTTCACTCCTAGGAATTGACTGTAAGGCATGTAGATGAGCTTCGGCCATTGAGGATCATATATCACAGGACCCCCTTGACTCTTACGTGGCAAATCGCGAAGCCGTTATTGAAAACAGGGTTCTAAGCTGCCACATCACAAATAGCTTCTTGAATCGCAAGATTCAAACATATTCCGCGCGTGACACTTGAACTGCTGTGCAAATGCGCAACAAAAATTCCATAGGTTGACTTGACGAAATACCTAGATACAATGACCAACCTTGTCGATGAGCTGTTTGGCAACAGCCTCGGATGAGTCGGATCCAAACAACTGTTAAGCAAATGGAGACTCTCGTGGAGGAGAGCCTGTTGAACAACTATCAAGAATTTAATCTTCATCTGGTTAGTTCATCCCGTTAATCAGTATGGAGCTGGCAAGAATGTTCCTTGTACATACTTCAAGTTCCATCATCAGACATCACATACATCCCTATCATATCAGTTGCACAATTCGGGGTCAAAAGGAATTTACGATGTTGAGTGGGCAATCTTCAAGGTCAACTTATAACGATACCGGATCTCCGATCGAAGAATGCCAGTCGACGATCGTCACGAACGCTGCATCCTTGTATCAACTTGACTCTGAGAGAACACTACTTTGACTTACTATACGACGGGAGTTTCAACGTTTGGGCTGTCATTTACTCAAAGCGAATCTAGAGACAGTGGCCAAATGTAACAAAGATAGACCAGCCCATAGAATTTCGATCGAACCAGGGCACTGGCCTGATTCCTTTTCGGACAACTGTAGCCTGTGAGAGGATACAAAATGTTGGTGCACCATGCTCCCGAGTTAACCGGTCGCGGTAAGGGTTATCTTCAAGCTTCATTAGTGCGCAGCTAAGTACGCAAAGTTTTTCTTTGCATAACCCTGTCCGATCGACTCCGACCCGACGTCAGGAAGTCCTCCCCATAAGTCTAAATACCTATCACATACTCACCTCTAATTAGTACACCGAAGCAACCATACTTCTCGTTACGCAACGATGTCAACGTACGCCAAGTTGACGCGGCGATAGGGAGGCGAATAAACCAGTCGGAAGTCCGGTATCGTACCACGGAAATCTGATTTGAACGTCCCACTCATCGATGCATGCCCGGTCGTTCGTTCAAAAACAAACTCAGCCTCGGTAGCTTCAATCGGATACACCAGCGGACTGCCTCCGTGAAATCATTCGGCATCCCTCTCATTCCTTACAAAAACTCCCTTCCTTCCGACCTCGATATCTTCTCTGTTTCTGGGAACGAACCTGAGTTTGACGACGATTCCGACTGTGGTCCATTTGACGATTCGAATATTTTTGAAATCATCGATATGCACGGCTCTCAGGACTCGACGTCATCGACGTTGCCTGCACCTGTCGTCCAGAACCGGTTATCGCAATGTTCAATAGCGAAGAACAGACGCGATGATGAAAATGATGCTTCGGCTATGGTGAGGTTGAAAAAACATTTGTTGACGGAAGTCGATGGAGATCAGTCCACGGCGCCTTTGTCTATGTATTGTTTCATGACTGGCTTCATGTGCGTGAACTGTGCTCTTGATTTACCTCGCAACTCACTGATCTTTTTTTTCAGCGATTCGGTTACATTCTCTGCTATATTTGTCTGGTGCGCTTTCCAAACGGGAAACAGTTTACAAGTACGAGTACCTCCGCGGTTGCAGAGGATCTTTCCCACTGACATTTGTGCGATAGCTGGCCCTTGCCCTTGCTCGCCTATTCAGCGGGCAGCACGATCATTCGTTCCATATAGCAGACCGTCAAGCGCTGTGCTCTGTGCTCACGTTCATTTTCGGCGCATTTATCGGCCGTATCGGCGATAAGTTGGGCTGCAAGACACGGTTATGGCTGGCCCTCGGCACATTCATTCAAACCCTCTTTACGATGGCCGCCGCTATTGCGATATGGCAGAGCCATCAGGGTAGCGTTGCTGATGCGCGCGCCAACCCCGCATGGACCAACGTGTCGTCCTTCGTGTGCGTTGGCTTCTTGAGCGCGAGCATGGGCTTGCAGGGCATTATGGGGAAGCGTGTCAATACGCAGTTCACCACTACAGGTATGTTTCAAGCATGTTTCTATTTATTTCCTAACCTTTCATTTCTCCGCAGTTGTGCTCACGACAACTTGGTGTGAGCTCATGGCTGACCCTAAACTTTTTGACATCCGACGGATGGTCATTTCGCGCGATCACAAGATCATAGCTATTGGCAGCCTGTTTTTTGGAGGCTTCATTGGCCGTCTATTGATCGACAGTATCGGTTCAGCTGCTACGCTGGGCATCGGCACAGGTATCCGTTTGATTGTCAGCGTATGGTGGCTGTTCGTCCCGGAGAGGCAGGCTGGGAAGTAAATATGCGTATGAAGTGCTCATATGCGTGTTTATATCCATGTACATATCTTCATTTCCGACGACTAGGAGACGAGATGCTACGTGTGTTGACGGGTAGGGGACGAGAGGATGATGTGAGCTGAGATGTTTTTTTTTGTTCAATTATACCAGTAGTTTGTTGCACTTTTAGTGTAGTATTGCCTAGAGTTTTTTTTTCGTTTTCAGATACTGTAGGCATCACGATTTTGCATGCGCAGTGGCTTTGTCGAACACAAGCGTAGCCCATTCTCCAGTTTTCTCACGGCTTTCTAGTTTTATCCACAAACTTGAATCATGATTGAGTCTCTCCATTGAATGACTTACCTTGAAGTTTGCTCCCATTACTGTTTTCTTGTCAGTGCGTGAACACTCTTTTAACTCTGCTTTCCTCGCACGCTGTTTAGGCGAAGATCGAGCGGAGTCCTCTGAGAGTGTCTGGTCATCGTCATACTCAAATTTCTCTCACTACAGACTCTTGTCACCTCGTCGACCCTCGAGCTCTGAACTTTGCTGATGACGTCTTGCTCTGTTCAAGCTGCTGCCGCAACTCATCATATATGCATCATATTTCGCCATCCAGTTTTGCATATGGTGCTACATGATTGACGTATTCAAACCCTAGCCTCTTTCTCTATACATGGAAGCTCCACATATTGGAGTCGGCTGTCAGGCGATACCACATTCAAGTGCATGCTGTACGTGATATGCCTGTGACAGCTATCTGTCCTAGACTCGGAATGGTAAGAGAATGCCAAGTGATTCGTACTAATGAGTATTAGTCGAGGACTTGGTGCGCAAGCATACTACTTGTCCGAGGTCCCAAATTCGAAACATGTATGTATGTATCTCGCTTGTCACAACGGCTAAATTTGGCTGTCGGCTAGATGCAACGACGTGTTGCTGCGTGCCGAATCTATGCTCTACCGCATTACTACCACCAGGAGCGCCTTCCCTGCAGGGTCTAGGCGCGGCAGAGGGCGGATTCCGACCTCGGCAGCGCCAAAATCCGAGTCGCAAGAATGCTAGACTGATCATTGTTGAGTCTATTCATAGTAGGTTGAGTAACAAGCGCCCTGATATGACGGCAAACTTGGTATCTCAAAACCGTCTATTTGGTTAGTACTCGTTGACACGTTTAAAATTGGTACTCACGACATAGTTGTACATGCAACGGGGGAGTCGTATTCAAGCCTCTTGTTCAACATACTAAGCTATCCTGGCGACAAGCGTCAATCATTACATTGAGTCATTCTCATAACAAATTTGATAGAAGTCCGTTACGGAACTTCATCGATAGATGGATAAATTTGATACAAATGATAATCTTTACACCCATCGAAGCTTACCTGACAGCAGCAGGCACACTAAGTCTCCTGAAAGCATGATCAGCTTCGGCTTTTCGCTTTGGGCCTCTGTCAGGGACTATCGATGATATTTGATGGCTACGCCATTCGACTTGTTTGTAGTACAGGGCGTACTCGAACCTACTTGGCCGTTAAGATAGGAGCCCGGTCAGCGCATGACTCGGATATGAACTGATATGGATCCGAAATACTTGATTCTCTAAATGAGATTATATCGGCTTTCCAAGCATGAGGCAAGATAAGAAGCGAACGATACGGTGAGTGATGTCGAACGTGACATACGTGATCAAGAAGGATCAAGGATATACTTCATGTGAATACAGTTGCGATGAAATTTGGAAGAGTTTGCATGTGTAGACTAGAAGACCAGTAAGTCACTGTATGGCATGGCCTGCAGCATGCATGAGATGTCACCTACCTGCCTCCAATGCAAGATAGCACTGGGCTTTAACGCGGATGTAGTTGTCGTTATAGGAGAAACTTCGTAGAAATACGTCATTGGTATATGTATAAACAAGAAGAACGCACATGCGGAGTTTGTGTAGCGGGTGAGATCGGAAGTCCAGTCAGTAACCACTGTCAGCTGAGGGGTCTCGTGTTCCTGTCCCTTGCAATGACGAATGGAAGAATGTTAGCTTAATTATATTGACATATAAAAACTTGAAGGTAAGCACAGCAAGCCTGTACGTGAGTTGGAATGAGGCTTAACTCGTGACATGCATGGTATTACATGCTGGTGGACATGAGGATAGAAACGCAGACTGTGTAACTCGACTTGGCCGGTTGTCTCCTACAAATGGGGCCAACAGTGGGGGATCTCCGGGAATGTGTGGCCCAAAAAAGGCAGGTGTCCAAGGATGCACGCTGGTAGCATCATGCTCACTGCCTTCTGGTGCCTCGACCCAGCCGTGTAGGCTGAGGTGCCACGCATCTTGTGGTGCTACCAACGTCATTCTACATGTGTTATATGTTTTACGCTCTCCATAGAATGCAGAATCACGTAGAGTATGGGGAGGATTCACCTCCGGAGGTTTGGGTACTGATGTGTAAATCCACGCACTGACGTTGGCAATTACTTTCACATTTCTGGCGTAGAAGGGAACTGTTATGCTTGGCACTTCAATCCGATGCGATGCGCTTTGATCGCACTCAAGCGCTCATATCTGCAAATCGGTCTTCGACTCATCCAACATCTCGACCTCTTTCCTGTACACAGAATACCTACAGCCCATACAGCTCAACTCCGCTATTAGACACAGAAAACCCTGCCGTCGCTGCGTCGGCCAGTGCATAAACTGCTATATCATATGGTACAGTCTAGTCGTCGTCGAGGAACCTTCTCGTAAGCGTCTTATTCTAGCCCCGCCAATTCATTCTAATTTTTCGACTAGTACAAAACCTTCCTCCAGGCTCTTTTCTCGCGACGAAGGACACGGACACGTTTTATCTCTCTTTCTTGGTTGACCTTCTCCAAAATCATCAACAATTACTACTCTGAGCTCCAGCTATCCAACTATTTATATACATGAATATCTAGATATGGTTCTTGATCCAACGTCTTGCAACTCTGTGCCATTCCTCGTCGAACCAGCACCCCCAGGCTCGACGACGACGAACCCAGTTTTGCCCTCCATCAGTAATTTATTCAGTGGCACGCCCATTAATGCCGGCCCGTTGCCCCCGATACCATCGACGTCCCAGTGCTCGAATATATTGAGCAGTACTGGCTCCCAGCCGACGAACGACGTGCCCGAGAGCTCTCCGTTTATGACACCACCAACATTAACAACATCTAGTGTGATGGCCTCTCAGGTGCGCACGATATTTCACTGTCTGTGTTCGATCAATGACATTGGCTCCACACCTTCTTCGCTTCCATCACGGGCATCATTCACGTTGCGTCTCTTGTAACCATTAATCCATTCACCACTCTCTTCAACATATATTCTCGTTTTATCTCGTGTTCATTATTGTCTTTTCATCATCAACATTATACTTCCATTCCGAACTTATCATTCTTGATGGCCGTTGTCTATTCACTTTTCTCTCGTCACTTCAGGCAAACGTCTATCCATCGGATGCTGGAAATGGTTATTTGCAACAGACCTTCACTCCATCTCCACCCATCAGCATTGAATCTCAGCCGTTGTCCAGTCCAGTGTCATCCAGTTTGAGGTAGGTCCTACCGAAATTATCCGGGGCAAGTTCATACAATTTCGCACCCAGTTCTTCGTCGTCTATTGCAAATTCCGGGACAACGGGCGCGAGTACTTGGTCAAGTTCAAGTACGCCCTTGTGGTCTTCTTTGACGACAAGTTCTGATAATTTGTCCTCTGGTTCATCTCTGATATCAACACAAACGCTCTCCCCATTATCGTCTACACCCACCATGACATCTGATGTATCCTTAACATCTACCGCACCCGGTTTTACTTCATCTTTCACCATCACACCCATTCCTCTTCCTTCAACTTCGCTGTCTTCAGTAACGACAACATCTACCTCCGCAGTGGTTTCAACTTCCGCCCCCCAAAGCTCTTTGTCGTCAGCAGGTCCGTCTTCGTCATCACACACAGCCCTCGCATCTAGCTCTTCTCCGGTGTCCAGTACGATCACTCCATTTCCTACCACGCTGATTATCTCTACTACCGATGTCGGTCAATACAGCACGTGGACTGATACTCCTTGGACATCGACGCTGGTTTTGACGTCCGTCCTGTCAGGTTATCCCGTCACCACTTGGACGACGACAACGAGCGGGGTGCTCAGTACCGCAGCTTCAGATACCAATGGGAACAGGTGGGTTCTTTTCCTTTGTGGCGTTGTTATGAGGTCACCTGCTATAACTGTGCTAATGGGGATCTCGCAGGCTCTCTCGTTCCCCTGGTTCTATTGCTGGCCTTTTCCTCGGGGTCCTCGGAGCTATTGCTTTCGCTGTTCTCTGGCTTTTCTGTGCTCGTCGTCGACAGCGCAAGCTGTCATCTCGTGATGCGAGCGCTATTCCTCCATGGGCGCCTGGCGGCCCACTTGAAGCCGAAGTAGACATGGAGGAGCGTTATGGTGGAATTATCGCAGCTCTCAATGAGGGCATGGGTGCGGGAAGGAATGTTCGAATTGAAGGGGACACGAGTGGAGAAGTGTCGGGAGAACTGGTAACTGGGCGCGCTTCGTCCCCTAATCTGCCTCCATATTCACTTGGAGAGGATGACGACGGTCCGCATGTCTTCCCATTATCTCCGCCTCCATCTGCATACTCCGCTCCCCCGCCACCGTCCGCGTATGTCCCGCATACCGCTAATAGTTCCCGAAGAAGAAGTTCGCCTGGGCCCGATGCTTCCGCATGGTTTGGGGGGTATAGTGTTGCTCCTGCTCCTTCGGCTGCATCGCATTACTCCCATTCTTCCACCCACTTCCTTACCAGAACCGAAACCGGAACTAGGACGAGGACTGGAAGCGAGGAGCCGCTCTTGACGAGAGCCGGAAGCAGATCTTCTTATCTAGATTCTGGCAACAAAGTCAGGCTAGGGTCAGCATTTGGTTCGCCTGAAGGAAGCATGAATGGTCATAACCTTTCACCTACGTCACAGTCCTCTGGCATGCTGAGTGCGACCGCTTCATTCGACGTTCTGCGGAGTATTTCGTCTCAGGGTGCACTGCGGAGCACGTCTTCGCATGGGTATGGGCGTGGGTTTGGGAGTACCTCGTCCGGTGCCGACTCACATCAGGGACCTGCGCTAGGGCTTGCGATTAGTGCAGCTCCAACTAGTTACCAGAACAGGCGTGTTACGATATGGAAGAAGGGGAAGCGAGAAAGCACTGGAAGCAGCACTACTGCATCCGCGTCTTTATCCGGCTCTGTGGACGAGAGACCTGCTGGCGTACGAGCTTTCCTTGGTCGTCTCAGACGGGGCAATACCCCGAGCCCAAAAGCAGGTTCTTCAAGAGAATTACCTAAAGACATAGAGAGCGAGGGAGCTGCTGAGAAGATAAATGCTTACGGCCCAGATATCTTCTCAGCCTTTGTCTCCCCTGCCACTCCCGAACCTGCATCCCTGTCAACATCCCCGCGATTTGTGCTTTCTAACCCCGACCCATGGCTTTCCTCGCCGTATGTTCATGCCGACGTGGCGGAACATGAGGATGGCTTGCAGCCACCCTCGTGGCCATGGCTTAGTGTGCCGTCAACCTCCTCTCCTGTGTCCGCCGACGAGTCACGCCTTACTACGGCTGACGGACTTCTTGATCCTCGCCTGCGTGACTCTTGCGAAGGAAGGAGCAACTCAAGTTTACGGGATTTTGAAGATTACTCCCGGCCAATTGGAGGTGTAAGCATCACTTTGTTTTAGCCTCGTGCTTTCCTGTCCGCATAGCTTACGATTCATCGTGTAGCTCATCAATAACCGACTGCATAGTACCACAACATTTGGCACTATTGATACCCATGAATTCGACAATGGAACAAGCGTACAAAATCGAGCGGACGACCAGCAAGAGGACGCTTATGCGACAATGACTCAGACACCCCGTGCAAGCTGGATCATAGATGGTGGCGCGGATGTCCACGCGCATGACGAACGAATCTGAATTTTTACCATGGCTTGGATACGACTTTTTAACACCTCTTTCTTTGCCGAGATGTTTATGAAATGACAGGGCGCCTTCGCTTTGCCAAGATACGTGCGGTATGGGTTCTGATTGACATTCCTCTGTGTTTTACTCATGAGACGAACGTGCCTATAGACACGCAATGCACAATAAAATATGACGCAGAGCACTCACCTCACACCTGTACATGCCGTACAATCCTTCACATATTATGCTCATATATACCTTACGGGCCTGCTCGCGTCCCGTTGTACCATATAATGACGACAAGACAAACGACATTTACATCATTTTCTACTTCCTCCCCTAGACTTACCAAGGTGACTTGGTATGTGGTATAGTTCTTTTGATTCAAGTGATTCCTGTTTCTGACGCATTTGGACTTAGGGTATATAACTTAACATTGCATTTCATTATGATGAATGTTGTCCTAGACCTCACGAGCGAAATGAACAGCTTCATTTTACGTTTAGTACTGTCGCACGTTGCTTTCGATATCTCTGCTTTCAGTATATTTGCTTTCGCTAACTACGATCTTGCTCACTGAGCTTCTTAACCACTTCCTTGTTTATTGTCGCCCCTGTTTTCTTTGCATTGCTCTCCTACGGAACCAAATTGATCATGAATCTGAATCTTTCGAGTGGTAGCAGGGTCGAGTGAGTGTTGTGCTTGCGAGTCTGATGGTTGTGCACGCATAGTCAAATGCCCTTGAGTCCAGACACGGTACGAGTCTTCCGCGTGTCACGCTGATTCCAATTTGACGTCAGTGCTCGAGAATACCGGTGATGATCGATGGTCGATCAAGTAAGTACGGTACAGCTTGATCAGCTGCAATTGTATACCAGCGCAGTAAACAAAGACAGAGTGAATCAAATGATTCTCTATGAGCTATCAACTGAAATACGAGCAAATTTGGTTGCTGGCCACCACTGCGCGCAGCTGGTATCGAGGAACGGGAGATCGGACTCGCTTGGGTTTTGCGTCTGCAGGAATATACTAGTAGTGCCGCACGCTTGGAGGCCTGCCAGCGTGCCATAGACAGGCGAGACACAACCCTTATTTGTTGTACCGTGAATAGTCTGCGATAAGGTTGGGTAGGACCGGGAATTTTATCCGAATGTAGTAGGGATAGCGGATGTCCAAAGTGCTGGGAGCAATTCGGAGATGTATGTCGGAGTAGACATGAAATAGGGGTGACCGCGTTCCTTGTATAATCATTCATGATATAATACAACCACTGCTGGCCCACTGCTTGCCTCGTGTTCAAACCCTTGTCAACTTGCAATGTCCTTCAACAGCTTCATGAACCGTTCCAGTATTCGTGGTTTCTTTGCGGCTGTGTTCCGTCCTTTCATGAATTCTCCTTCTGATGCCCCCGCCGTGTTCACGTTGGGCGATAGTAAGAATGACGTAGGACAATGGCAGATGCTCATCCGGAGCAACGAGCTATCTTCGCAATGCCAGCTTGAACGCGTCGTCCACTGCAAATGCACTAGCGACAAAGAACACGAATTTTTACTCCTTCATTTTCGTCATCCCATACAACAGCACGCCGTCGCGATATTGGTTCTAGACCGAACCCCATGCACAGACTCTACAGAGAACAACAACGGCTCGTCAAGATGTATGCAGTCGTCATACATAGTCTCTCCATCAGTTTCTCCGACCCCTGCTCACGATTCCATCTTCACTACCTCAAATAGCGGTTCTGCTATCAAATCCTATCTATCCAGAACATATGGCCCGTTCAAGAAGCTTTGTTACCTCGACTTCCCCGCCTCCGCTCGCCCTTCGGCAATTCAAGTATCCGTGCTCCTGTCCGCTCTCAGTAAGCAATCTCCGTCATACCACCTGTACCAGTACCAGTGTCACTGGTATGCCCATACCGTCTGGGAGGCCCTCAAAAGGCTCTTCCCAGATTGCCACGAGATAACGAGGAGCGATGGGCGCTCCTCTCATCTCGGGGTCAAGATCGAGAAGGCAGACAGCGTGGAGGTAATGTGTGAGCAGTATCACACCCAGTGGGCGCGCATTGAGAATGCGGCGGAAGAGAGGAGGAGAGCAAAGGAAGATGAAGTACGGCAGGTGAGGTTCCCCCCAGAATCAGTTATGCAATTCATTCATTTATTGTTATAGTTGCGGATGGAAGTACGGGCTCAATATCAAGCGGAGATCGACCAAGCAGTGAGGAGAGCAGAGGAGGCGGAACGGAAGGCAGAGGAGGCGGAACGGAAGGCAGAGAAGGCGGAACGGAGAGCAGAGGAGGCGGAACGGAAGGCAGAAGAGGCGGAACGGAGAGCAGAGGAGGCGGAACAGAAAGCAGAGGAGGCGGAAAGGAAAGCAGAGGAACGGGTGAGGTTCTTTTTCAGAATTCATTGTACTATTCACTCATCGATTCTCGCAGGTTAGGGCTGAGTGGCAAGCAGAAATGGACCGAATGCGAGCCCAACTCGAGCGCCAGGCAGTGTGATACCGGTGTAACTATTACTCTCATTTCCCCATTACCAACATCCTCATCATGATCAGACGCGGTTGCAATATACATTAAAACATATCAGAATTGACCTTCCTGTCTCAGACTCTGCGATCTACAGGGCTAGTTCTTATCGGCGTTACCGGTAACACGAAAAACCCCTCCGCTTTCAAGGTCACTAAGGACGCATTGCAGTTGCAATGTATAGTCATGAACGAGCTGTAATCAGTGTGAAGCACGCGGCTAGTTTGAGTCACAGAAGGGCAACCGGTGCCAAGATTTGTCGATGTTGCTCGTGTCATATCGTTCTAGTACGAGGCCCGTCAATCGTACCGACCAGTGAACTAGTGACCTCCCAGCAGTAAACAATCTGACAATTTTGGCTGCTGCGCCATCTCTTAGATTGTATATCACGGCCACTATCTTCACGCCAGGTCGGAGAGGACCCATTATTCAGTCTGGTCATCGTTTTGACGTCAGTGCTCGAGAATACCGGTGATGATCGATAATCGATCAATCATTCTCAAGTACCAGCTTGATCAGCTGCAATTGTATACCAGCGCAGTAAACTTAAGAAAGTCAAGTCAGAGTGAGCCAAATGATTCTCTATGAACTGTAAACTGCAATACGAAATTTGGTGGCTGGCCACCACTGCGTGCAGCTGGTATCGAGGAACGGGAGATCGGACTCGTTTGGAGGCCTGCGTGCCATCATGATAGACAGGCAAGACACAACCCTTATTTGTCGTACCGTGAATAGTCTGCGATAAGGTTGGGTAGGACCGGGAATTCCGAATGTAGGGATAGCGGATGTCCAAAGTGCTGGGAACAATGAGATGTATGGAGTAGACATGAAACAGGGTGACCGCGTTCAGGCTTGTATAATCATTCATGATATGATACAACCACTCGCCCACTGCTTGCCTCGTGTTCAAACCCTTGTCAACCTGCAATGTCCTTCAAAAGCTTCAAGTATGGAACGAATCGTTCCAGTATTCGTGGTTTCCTTGCAGCCGTGTTCCGTCCTTTCATGAGTTCTCCTTCTGATGCCCCCCCCGTGTTCACGTCGGGCGATAGTAAGAATGACGTAGAACAATGGCACATGCTCATCCTCGGCAACGAGCTTTCTTCACAATGCCAGCTTGAACGCGTTGTTTACTGCAAATGCACCGACGGCAAAGAACACGAATTTTTGCTCCTTCATTTTCGCCATCCCACACAACAGCACGCCGTCGCGATATTGGTTCTAGACCGAACCCCATGCACAGATTCTACAGAGAACAACAATGGCTCGTCAAGACGCATGCAATCGTCATACATAGTCTCTCCGTCAGTTTCCCCGACCCCTGCTCGTGATTCCATCTTCACTACCCCAAACAACGGTTCTGCTATCGAATCCTATCTATCCAGAACGTATGACCAGTTCAAGGAGCTTTGTTATCTCGACTTCCCCGCCTCCTCCGCTCGCCCTTCGGCAATTCAAGTATCCGTGCTCTTGTCCGCTCTCAGTAAGCATTCTCCGTCATACCACCTGTACCAGTACCAATGTTACTGGTATGCCCATACCGCCTGGGAGGCCCTCAAAAGGCTCTTCCCAGATTGCCACGAGATAACGAAGAGCGGGGGGCGCTCTTGTTATCTTGGGGTCAAGATAGAGAAGGCAGATAGCGTGGAGGCGGTGTGTGAGCAGTATCACGCCCAGTGGGCGCGCATTCAGAATGCGGCGGAAGAGAGGAGGAGAGCAAAGGAAGATGAAGTACGGCAGGTGAGGTTCCTCCCAGAATCAGTTATGCAATTCATTCATTCATTTTTACAGTTGCGGATGGAAGAACGGGCTCAATGTCAAGCGGAGATTGACCAAGCGACGAGGAACGCAAAAGAAGCGACGAGGAACGCAAACGAAGCGACGGAGCAAAAGGAGGAAGCGGTAAAGAAAGCAAACGAGGAGATGAGGCAAAAGGAGGAAGCGGTAAAGAAAGCAACCGAGGAGATGAGGCAAAAGGAGGAAGCAGTAAGGAGAGCGGAGGTAGCGGAGAGGATGATAGAAGAAGCGAAGAGGAAAGCAGAGGAGGCAGAACGGAAAGCAGAGGAGGCGGAACGGAAAGCAGAGGAGGTGAGATTCTTTCCAGAATTCATTATGCTATTTACTCATCGATTCTCGCAGGTTAGGGCTGAGTGGCAAGCGGAAATGGACCGAATGCGAGCCCAACTCAAGCGCCAGGCAGTGTGATACCGGTGTGACTATTACTCTCATTTCTCCATCTCCAACATCCTCATCATGATCAGACGCAGTTGCAATATACATTAGAGCATATCAGAATTGACCTTCCTGTCTCAGACTCTGCGATCTACAGGGCTAGTTCTCATCGACGTTACCGGTAACACGAAAAACCCCTCCGCTTTCAAGGTCACTAAGGACGCATTGCAGTTGCAACGTATATAGTCATGAACGAACTGTAATCAGTGTGAAGCACACGGCTAGTTTGAGTCACAGAAGAGCAATCGGTACCGATGTTGCTCGTGTCCTATTGTTCGAGTACGAGGCCCGTCAATCGTACCGACCAGTGACATCCCAGCAGTAAACAATCTGACAATTTTGGCTGCTGCGCCATCTCTTAGATTGTATATCACGGCCACTATCTTCACGCCAAGTCGGAGAGGACCTATTATTTAGTCTTGTCATCGTTCCTACTGTGATTCGAACCACTCCAGCCAACTGAGTGCATTCGATGCCCATTTAACAAGGTGTAAACATTGAATTCGAGATGTATGTAGGCAAATGTGCTCGACGCGAGGGTTCCGAACGACTAACTTGTGCCTAGGTAGAGTTATGTAGATATGGTACGTCAATGCAGCGACTGATGGGTGGATGCGGTCAATGTAAACGAGTGAATCAACGAATCTGATGGGTGAGCGATACGCACTATAACAAAATCATGTATCAATGGAGCTGAGATTAGATGGGGTGTCGCAGGAGTCAGAGAGAACATGGGGCATCGTAGGAAACATAACAGTAGGAAAAGAGGTATCGCACATACAAGAAAATAAATCGAGAAAGATATGAGGATTGTCGATGTCGCCGGCAACCTACGAATGACGTGCGGGGCCCATTGCCCGCCGGACAGGATTGTCCCTCTCCACAACAAACGCCCCAGCGCGCAGGCCTTCCTTCGAAGCCAGGCGTTGTTTGCTGTCTTTCTCCCTACGTTCGCGCTCCTCCCGAGCGTGCTGCAGGAGCTCAAGGCGCTCAGCACCTTTGTCAGAGCCTTGAGGCTTGGAGAATACAGGCTCCCGCTCAGTCCCATCTGCGAAGACTACGTTCTTGCGGGAGCCGGTGCTGGCCGTACTTTTCTCACCCTCCGATGCGCTGGCATCTAAATATTCAACCTTCGCACGTTTGGCACCAAAGGAGCCGATCGGAGAAACGTCTTGGCTGCGGTCACGAGGCTTGCGCTTAAGCTTGCTGGCAAAGAGCCGGCGGGGTGGACATGCCTCAGCCACCTCAAAGTCTGGATGATCGATCGGCAGTTTAGACGCCTCAAGCACTTCAGGGGGAAGATGATATTGGGGGTTATTGAATGTCGCTTTTTGGCCTCGGCTAACAAAGCGGTCAGTATGGAGATATCATTGAAGACGAGGAAGACTGACAAGACATAGGTTATTGTCGGCTTCTCCTCAAACGCTGGTGCTGGAGTTGGCGTGCTCGCACGCTCCGGGGCTTCTCCGACGGGCAATTCATCATCGCTGCTCTCCCAGCCGCTTGCATTAGATGTGCCTGCTTCACCCTCACCAGCGAGGAAAGGATTGTCAGGGGAGTCTCGAGTAGGCCATATTTTCTTGGCTTTAGAATCAGAGGGGGATGGTAGCGCACGAAGGAAGAGTTTGCGGGGAGGTGTCACGGGTGGCTTTGGTAGAAGAAGTATAGGTGGGGGCGAACGCGAGCGCTGCACTGATGATGCACGAGGGTGGACTTGGGGTGCTCGGCGGGAGGGAGGAGGCGAAACGGGCTCACGTACGCGATACTTCAACAGTGCGGGTGAAGGTGACTTGTCCTCTTCCGAATCCTCTACTGCAGAAGATTTTTTGCGCTCATGAGACACTACGCCACCACTACGACCAGTCCAGAACGAGTTCTCGTTATCTTCTTCTTCGTCATGCGCAGGAAGGACGTCCATGGTTCGGCGTTTTTTCCTTCCCATGAGCGCATGAGCATCCTTGTCGCCGCTACTTTCATCTTCACTTTTGCTGTGTCGTTGATCGATGCGAACAGCATAGCTTCCACCAAGGTTGTCCTCGAGTTCTGACGCGCTGCCACTCTCCTCTGACGCGTGTCTAGAGGTCGCTGACACTGCTTTTGAACGAGATCGCTTGTGATGTGTTCTGGGAGGCGTAGGCAGTGATGCCAGAGATGCAGAGCGTTTTATGGGTCGTGAATGAACTTCCGTATCGTGAACAGAGGGAATGCGGATGGGTGATGAGTCAAGTATCTGATAGCTTGACATGGCTCAAGATCAAAGTCAATGGAGTTGGAAAAGATTTCGCTAAGAAGAGTTATGCAAGAGATAAGATGGTGGTTAGGAAGAAAGAAGTGATAAGCTACGACGTTTCAAACCGACCACGGTCCACTTTGTCGTAGAAACAACACCACGAAAACAATGCATATAAACACATACAAACAAATGTTCTTGTCCACAACAAATCTGGTTTCACCGACTCGACGGCGCCGCCGTAGTGACTGCTGCCAGAACGACTGTCTCCGGTATGGATCCACCCCTCCAGCGAATCTTCACAAAAGTGGAACCGAATTCGCTCAATGTAGGATGAAACAGCCGAGGCTGAAACTCTGAAATTTCGTCAAACAACTTGTAGATAGTTGTAGAGAATGCCACTGGAGATAGGTAGAATACAGATTTCTGAAGTTATTCTCGATAGTAGCAATCAATACCCTTCATTCTGACGTTTACTTAGTAGTACTGTACGTGGTTTGAAGACAGTTGTTGTGGAATCGGGTGGCCAATTGCCTTTTTCGGACACCTTGAAAGTGTCGCTGCGTTTAGCACAACGTTACTCAAACGTTACTACAGCTTCAAATCGAACTTTTATCACCTGTACGCTCAGCTCTCTTCGCGCGTACATCGCGATGGCTTCGGGAAGCCCAGACGACTCTGGCAGGCAAGCTGCCCTTCCCTGGACACCTGACGTGTCCGAGAGTGCAACCGAAGCTCTCCAAGCATTGGATACTTACAAGAAGAAGGATCCATCTAAAGGTCAGCGATGCAGCATTGGTGTTAGATGAGCGCGTCTATATCGGTAAATCCAATATGCAGTGGTGGTTCGCTTCAAGGCGGTCGGTAACGCACCAATCATGAGGCAGAACTTTTATAAGATTACCGCCTCCAACCGTTTCCAGGCAGTGATACAGTTTTTGAGGAAGGAGCTGGGCTGGAAAGCCGGAGATCCACTGGTTAGGATTGATGACTTGCATTTGATGTTGAACTGACTCGTCCCAGTTCACATACATCAATCTCGCATTTTCTCCCGCTCCCGACGACACAGTATCAAATCTCTACAAGGTAATGCGTCTAGGTCTTATCGCAGAACATTTTCTGATGGCTATCAAAGTCATTCGCTACGGAAGGACATCTGATAGTCAACTACAGGTTAGTTTCCCGATAATTCGCGTGCACAGCGTGTTCATACGATTGCATACTGTTTAGTACGACGGCGGCATGGGGGTAACAACACTCTTGCTAAACAGTGTATATATATATATTCGCACAGTTGTGTCACCGTTCAACATTATACTTGTCACAAGTTAATACAAACTCTTCGTTCGTTATGTCTGTTCCAGAACCTATGGGCAACTCTCTTGGAAGGGTGTAGTGATTGACACGGTATCATGGTCAAGATATCTTCGCCTGGTTCTGAGCACTCTGCATCCAGGAACTTGTTGAACTCAGATAGACGCTCCATCTGTCTGATCACCCTCTGCCTCGGGAAGATCCGCCGAGGAAGCATAACGAGGTACAGGGGTTGAGTCCGATGTCATACATCATCCGATTATAATCAACGATTATGTATGAGTGAAACTGAAGCCATGCCTAATAGTCGACGATCCAACGGCGTCCAATGCAACACGCTGTGTAAGATCAGATCGACGGGCGGTACGAGATCAAGAGAGGCAAAGGGATCGATGGTAGATAGTAGAAATTGGGTCGAACAGAAAAAAGCTTTTCATTGTCGATGTCAAGACCGAATCTGTTCCTGTGCACAACCAGGTAGTATGCCAGAGAGTGAAAAGAGTGAGCATCGTTACGGGAATGGCGTTGGTATGTCAAAATGTCTTACTTTTATCCCTGATCATCCGATGTCTTAGTACGTACCACAGTGGTTCTATGTTGCAGACCAGATAGGCACCGCTATGACCTGTGCAAGTGCTTTTCCCCTTCCGAGACGCACTGTGTGTTATTGGCACCGAACGGGACTGCTAGGGGTGGGCAGAACCTGGCGAAACTCAGTAGAGCTCCATATAGAGACTTTAGTAAGAGTTTTACTAATTGCTGTGAACGAGAATGATATTGATTCGTAAGGACACAGCTTACATGCCAGCCGGTAAAACCACCAGATTTGCAAGCTCTGCCAGACCCAAATCTAAGAGTAGCTCTTCCTTCCCACACAAATGGCACTTTCGCAACCAGCGCGTACTGGCCAAGGTTTCCGTTTTCTTGTGTCGGTACGAATTCAGTGGTTGCTTCATCAGGCGCAAGCACTGGAGCGGGATAGTCATCTCCTCGATAGATAGGATCCATCGGAACGAGTATAAATGACCCGCTTCTAACTTGATCAGAAGATGAAGGCATCTCTTGAGGGCTTTGATGATAGCGTATCATGCTGAGAAAATATTAGTCTCAAACATATCGGGAAGTCGCACCAACACTGACCAATGCTGGAGGTTATGAAAGCGTGAACTAAAGGGGAAAGGACGAGGAACGCATCTCTGAATTCTAATTTGCGTCGACTCGCAGGCCGTAGTAAGTGTTATGATTGATCACTTCTGTGATGACATTCACGGTATAACAGTACGACCAGTTGGCTGAATTGGCTCCAGTTAGCCGGTGGACTTCAGTTTGACGGTCCGGAAGTCTGAATATTTATGGTGGTAACGCGGATCGCGTGAGAGATGGGTTCCTGACTGTCCACTTCTCAGATGATATAGATCTTGAGAGGTCATGTAACTAAAACACCTCAATTTCCCCACGCGTATTCAAATACTGATGCGGCTGGCCAAGGGCTTCTGGAACTCAGCGCTCAACAACAAACGGCTTATTTGCCCACCGTCCACGAAGTATTCTTCCTGTTATGAGTTGTTTGGTGCAGGTTGTCGGAGAGGAAAATCAGCGGCATACCGCGAATCGGAATCTGATGTGACTAACAAACTTATTGGCCAATGGCCAGTCAGGAAAGGCCCAGGGTGCATCTTGTTCAGAAAGTTCGAGTCAAGTCTTGAACGTTTGAACTTCCAAGCGAATCATGGGATTCTGATTGTTCCCAATCATCGTGCTGCCCTGAAATGGTCGATGTTTTTGGATCAGTAGTCAGTCTCCCGAAAAGTCTCAAATGCGACGAACCCAGACGCTCGGACTGCAGAGTTCTCAGTGCCGTGGCTATCACGAGGTGGCTCACGTCCGAGCGTGTAAGCCGGGGGACGTTTGCCGAAATCATCCTAGCAACAAAAGTCACAGCATCTCAGTAGCTTGCACTGGTGAGCGAGAAACGGGATGGATTTTCTCTCATTTCCAACAGTCTGTGAGTGGTTTGTAAGCACGTTTAAGGGTTGTGCGCGATCCGCCAATGAGAACGTGGCGGCCCCGAGAAGTTCCCACGGCTGCGATGTAATGGGTAGTATTGAGGGCAACTGACGCATATAAAGTGGCGTCATATGTGAGAGATCAAGCAAGATCTGTGATATACTTTTCTCTTAATCTACCATCATCATGAGCGGAAGACCAGCTTCAGGCAAGTCCATCAACACTTCGAATATCTTATCCCGCGTCCCCCTCACCTGTGATCCTGCAATCAGAGTACAGTGCCTGGAAGAAGCTCCAGCAGACATATGACGCTCAGCATGCTAGGCTCATCCTGAAGGATCTGTTCGCTCAGGACCCCAATCGTTTCTCAAAATTCTCCGAGGAATATGTGGACTCAACCGACAAGAACACGACGTTCTTGCTCGATTACTCTAAACACCTCATTACCCAACCCATCTTAGATACACTCCTATCTCTTGCTCGCGAGGCAGAGCTCGAGAACTACCGCGACAAGATGTTTGCCGGAGAGCACATCAATACATCAGAAGATCGCGCCGTCCTTCATGTTGCTCTCCGCAACTTCGATGATTTCAAGATCCAGGAGGCTGGTGTTGATGAGGTCGCTGCCGTGCTCGCACACATGAAGGAGTTCTCCGAAGCAATTCGGAGTGGTTCATGGAAGGGCTACACTGGCAAGACAATCAACACGATTGTCAACATCGGTATCGGCGGTTCTGATCTCGGACCAGTTATGGTCACTGAGGGGCTCAAGCCATACGCGAAACGTGACTTGACCGCCCACTTCGTCTCTAACATTGACGGAACCCACATCGCTGAGACTCTCAGACTCTGTGACCCCGAGCGCACCCTCTTCATCATCGCTTCCAAAACGTTTACCACCCAAGAAACTATCACCAATGCCGAATCCGCTCGCGATTGGTTCTTGGCGGCAGCCAAGGACAAGGCCCACGTTGCAAAGCACTTCGTCGCCCTCAGCACGAACACAAAGGCTGTCACTGAGTTTGGCATTGACAAAGCAAACATGTTCGCCTTCTGGGACTGGGTTGGTGGGCGCTACAGCTTGTGGAGTGCCATAGGCTTGTCCATTGCCATCTATATTGGCTATGATAACTTCGAGCAGCTCCTGAAGGGTGCCCACGGTATGGATAAGCATTTCAAAGAGACTCCCCTCGAGAAAAACCTTCCCGTGCTCATGGCTGTTATCGGCATCTGGTACAACGATTTCTATGGTGCCCAGACTCATGCACTCCTACCATACGACCAATACCTCCACAAATTCGCTGATTACTTCCAGCAAGGAGACATGGAGTCCAACGGAAAGTTCGTTACCAAGGGTGGTCAACGTGTGGACTACCAGACAGGGGTAGGTGCAATAGACCCATCTGCGTGACAGAAACTGACATGATCGTACACGCAGCCTATCATCTGGGGTGCCGCAGGCACTAACGGACAACATTCGTTTTATCAGCTAGTGCACCAGGGCACGAAACTCATTCCCGCAGATTTCCTCGCCCCTGCCACAAGTCACAACCCCATCGCCAATTCCAAGCACCACCGTATTTTACTTTCCAACTATTTCGCCCAGCCTGAAGCGCTTGCATTTGGTAAGACAGAGCAGGAGGTGCGCAAGGAACTTGGCAGTGGTGCAAGCGAGGCGCTCGTGAAGAGCAAAGTATTCGAGGGAAACCGCCCTAGCAACAGTATCTTGTTCCCGTTGATGACCCCAAGAACCCTCGGTGCGCTCATCGCGTTGTATGAGCACAAGATCTTCACCCAGGGTGTCATCTGGGGTATCAATTCTTTCGGTAGGGATGTTCCCGGTTCTCGCTTTCTCGTTCGCTCATGGTTTTTGTAGATCAAATGGGTGTCGAACTTGGAAAAGTTCTTGCAAAGAACATTTTGTCGCAGCTGAATGACCCGTCCGATGTGACTGGCCACGACAGTTCGGTGCGTTCATCTTTTCACTACGCTTTACTTTCTAGCTAAGGCAAAAACGGCCTACAGACTACTGGTCTTATTCACTACTACCAAAAGCACCGAAAGGAATGAATTGTAATCCCAAGGCTGTAATTTCGCGAGTAGACTGTAAAATAGCACCGAGGTATTTTTGCCGATTCTTGATAACAGTAGCTATAGTTAAACAGGAGTGTAATCTTAGCACAATTTCAAAACACTTCGAGATAAGAGAGGCCTCGGCTTCAAACACAGAATGACCGCAGAAATCCTGCACCACGATGTCGCGTTGACACCGTATCATTCGATCTGTCAATGATTTGTCTCATTGACGGACACCGCCCCGCGGGCAATGTCGATCAATTCGCAACCCGCATGCAGGATCATCACGTTGCGAGCAGCGAGATAGGTCACATCATTCTAATGTAATGTAATATTGGTTTGCCCGAGACTATGAGGCTTCTCTATTTCAAAACACCAAATGAATAACGAAATTCCAACGAATTATATTCCCTACAGAGCGCATTGCAAATGCGAATAACCTGCGGTGTTTTCTCTGTTACACACATGAGCCAGTCGACTTCTGTGTGAGTTCCTGGAAAACCATTGTACTCGTATCAGTTCTTTCGTCTGATTGCGTCATCTCCTCGGCGTGATATTCTCGAATGCTGAGGATGAGGCGTGGTCCCAGTATAAACATCTGCATGACCTGGGCAAGTTGAAGAATGCCATAATAGATATCAACTCCCAAGGGATCCTGTACGAATAATGAGGACCAGTCAGACGTAGATGTCAGCTGCGGATCGCGTACCCCGATGCTTGGAGAGAGACTACCGAGGTTCAAGCAAGCTACAGCAGCATATCTGGTACGTGCAAGATTTCAGCGAGGAAATACAATGACATTCTGATCATAAGCTCACGCTATGAAGTATAATACATGTGTTTCGATCAACACCCTGAAATAGGTCCCAAGGGTCGATTTCGCCAATGGCTGTTTCAGTTCACGGAGGTGTTTTACAACAATCCAGACTGCGAGAAACAGTGTGGTAAGCTCCCATGCAGTGGCTATACCCCATGCATCGGTTCCCAGATTTGAACTGCCTCCAGTAGGATTGCACTGATGGATTCCGTAGAAAACAGTCTCCTCTGATGTTTGATTAGACTACTGTGTTTAGGTGATTCATAAAGCTTACCCCCTGAAACACCGCTACTTCCGTTAATCACTGCGAATGTGATGGTGGCAGCGAGAAGGAATACAACGAGAAAGACGAGTATCTTTCTGGACCGCTCATACATGGCATGTAACCGGATGATGATGATGACTAGAATAATATTTAGTTCGACTTCATATTGCTAATTGTTGATGCGGTTGAATGGCTCACCTCCCAGCACGGCATTTGCAAATACAGATATCCAGGTTTGTAAGTCCCAAAGGATAGTGCCTGAAAATTTGAGTAACGAGCTTCCGTACTTCCAGAAAACCTACAGCTGTGCAGTTGTTATATTTGTTAAAGCAACAAGCTGGTCGAAGCTTTCACTAACCTCTATGTAGAAGTATATTTAGTTGGAGGGAATGGTAGTAATTGCTGCAGAATACTTACTGTATCCGTCAGCGAGACCGATGGGAGAGTCCCTGCATAGTACCGGTCAAAAAAACGTTCTAGTATACTTTTGAGACATACACAGCACGGTAGAACTGATTGCGAGATATGGCTGATTAGTACCGGGCCACCTTGTCAGCCCCACGCACATACATAGTGGATATTATTCCAGTGCAACGCAGCTGTTTTGTTTTGGTATCAGCACATCTTGCCAAGTAATGCTTATAAGATAACTTACGCTCATATATAAGATAGTCATCAGGGACCAGCGTTTCGTCTGCCCCGCATTGATTCTATTATCCGATTGTCCCAGATCTGCTAGAACCTTTGCTCACCCATACCAGTTCGATCTGTAAAACCATTCTCAGTGAGATGGCTTTCAGGGCGTCGAAACCAGCCTACCTCTTGTCCGAACGTCAGTACTGGTGAACGCCATAAGGTCATCAACAATACGTTCAATAAGTACCATATTGCTTACCCCATTCATATATCAGGACAGCAAAGGATGCAACTGCAAAATCGCCGTCAAAGATAGAGTGAGATATCACCAACACCATCTGACTTGGTCTTCACGAACCTGCAAAATAGCTGTAAAAGCGAAACAATTTGATTGTCGGCCACGAATCGGACATATTCAGGAAGTTGATATCAGTGAGTCGCGAAATCGGATGTCTACTGATCGCAGCACATTCATGATGCGTGCTAGATATACCGCTATCCGGCGCTTTTCGAGAGAGGCATCAATGATTAATCGATTATGCGCAGTAACACGAAGAAGACGGACCCCGGGCTTTAGGCTTGAATCAGAAAATATTTTGGGATATGTTTGGGCCTGGAAAGCAGTAGTACTATACGACTAAGTATAGGCCTGGCAGAAAGCTTGAACACCGCGAAACGAGAAAGGCCGCACAATTACCACATTGACTTAGCTTGATCGCTGACTCTGTGCAAAAACCGCGTGTGATGTGGAGATAAAGAAAGTCATGCGCCGCGACGTGCTGTGTCTTCCCCTACCTTATCATCATCGCATCTTCCATCTTTGATGGACTTTCTGACACCAGGCTGCTGCCGAGACTAAGCGACTCCAACTGTCATGACAAATACGACCCCTTGATGAGCTCAGCCTGGCAACACGCTGCTATGTTGCATGGGCCATACCACGGACTCCGAGCCAAGCATCTTCTACGTCATTGTGTTCACTACAGCTTATCAGTTTCTTTTTGACCTCTAAGTCGCCTTGAAGCAAAAGAGTCCCTCAGTGGATCTCGTGATCAAGGCTCATCCGCTGAAAAATAAAAAGGTATATTTTCGAGTTGCAATATCGACGGTTCTGCTGGAAAGTTCAGGCTGCTTTTCAATGGTGCCACACTAGACTAGTACTAGTACTGTTTGTGCATACCGTCAAAGTACTTCATTCGCGCCGTCCAAATATAACTTCCACCACACGCGATCGACTCAACAGGCTAGTACTGCTTCCACATCGGGATTGTCCTTCGAGAAAGGCGAGCTTGAATTGTTCAGCTTTGAATGAACTGCGGGCGGCTTTACCCGGATTCCTGAGTTCCTACCAAATAGTAGAAAAGCTTGTTATGAGAGAGAAAACCGCTGCAGGTACGTGCCTGAGTGTTGCACTAGAACATGTACGTATGAACGGTGAGGCCTAGGTCGAGACTCGAGTTGGTGTTCTACGTGAGTTTGTGCTTATATAAGCATCGCGCAGAAGTTCAAATCATCTCATGGAGACGCGATAAACCGCGTCAGGTTAGAAATCATTTTATAAAGCACAGCTAGGTAGGTATCACAATTCAAACATTCGTCAGTAGTCGAAACATTGACGAGATATACCCACGATTCACGCAGGCTAGCTGAATCCATAAGATAGAAGGAACGACCATCTTCGTTTCACCACGATCGAGGACAATGGCTCAATCGTTACCTCCGGAACTATGGTCACATATCTTTGGTCTGGCCGCGGATGAGGACACGATATTTTATCCCGGCCTTCCAACATCCATGACCCAGTCTTCTTGGGCACGTTCTCTGGTTACGGATTGGCAACTAAGGACGCCTCGCGACTTGATCAACATGGTCCAGCGCAGGAGCTATGCTACCAAGAAGGTGTGTCGCGTTACAAAAATAGACACCCATTTCTCATTGTAATCCTGTGATAGTCGATCATATCAACGTGCCGATCATGGCGTTGTCTCGGCCTCGAGTTCCTCGTCCGCTATTTATTCTTCAATGACCCTTCGAAGCTCCGCTCTCTTACTGTCCTTCTCACTTCCAATCCCTCGCTAGGGTGGTGGACACGCCGTTTGCATATTACCCATTTTCTCTACGAACGCGGTCCCTCCCTCGACGATTTCGAAGCCGCCCTCACAGCTGTACTCACCCAGACTCCCAACCTAGAGATTTTCATTGTCGATTGGCCTCTATCAAGGGCATTTGGTTCCATTGCAGACACGCTGGGTACCCATTGCAAGAACTTGCGCACTGCTCATTGGCACGTCCCTGCCGAACTCCTTCCAAAGGTCATATGGGCATTAGATGCCCTCCCACTCCTCGTTTCCCTTGCCGTCGAGTTCGATGCACCACTCAAGGATTGTGACATGCTCACCTTAGGAAGCGCACAAGATGTTAAGCTCCACCTCCCGAATCTTCAGCAGCTCATCCTGCGTGGTTACTCTGCCGAGTTCATCGAACAAGCCAGTGGCTGGAGCCTCCCTCTTCTACGCAGCTTTTCCTTTGATTTTGGCAACAAACGTGAAGACGTTCCCGATGTCCTACCCTTCCTCGGCACCCATGGTACCAGCCTGCTCTTCCTTGACCTTGATTGCATCCCAGCACTTGATATCCGCACAATATTAGACCTATGCCCTCTCCTCACCGCTTTCTCTTTCAATCTTGACTGGAAGATACCACCTATCGCACAGAATGCTGACACAGGAGATGGATCCATCGTTTTCACCAATCGTCCCCATGAGCACATCGCACACATCGGGCTCCATGGATTGCTTTTCGCGTTCGGAGTGGGCCTTGCTAGCGCTTATGCCACCCCTGACCCTCTTAGCGCTCTCCTTGTGCAGCGTACGAATGACAAGAATTTTGCAGCGCTCACTAAAACCAGTTTCCCTCGACTCGAACGAGTGCGCGTGTTGAGTCCGACAGTGCTCACGGACCTAGAGCGTGCGGACGGGCCGCAAGGGAGTGGGATGGAGCGCTGGGAGAGGTGGGCAGGGATGTGCGAAAGCAAGAGTGTCCGTCTGGAGGACTGCACAGGTGCACTATTGGGTACATTACCTCAAGAGTATGAGGAAGAGGACGAGGATGAGGTTGAGGAAGATGAATTTCTGGAAGACAATGAGTACTCTTATACGGACGATGAGGAGCCGGCCAGACCGGGTGGAGTGGGTTTATCAGAACTGAGGGCACTGCTGGAAGAATGTAGGAGGATGAGCGAAGAACGTGAGGATCCGCCATTTGCATTGACGTATCGATGACTTTGGGACATCGGTGTTTGTTCTTACTTTGTACCTATTCCCACTGGACATGTGTAAGATCACTATTCATATAGCTTATTACAATAGTAGTTCGTTATTATCTTGGTCTGAGAAAATGCTGTCCAAATGGGTAGCTAATGTCATGACGCCCTGTCATGTGCTTTCCCTTCTGGAGTCCGTGCCTTGAATGTCCCTCTACGTGCAACGTCCTCCACAATCCTTCTCGCTCGATCTACATAAATCCTCTGGTCTCCCGGAAGCCTTTCACGACCTACCCACCGAATTCAAACCGTGAGCTTGACTAGATTAAGAATCCGAGGAAATGCAACACCCACCTACAATCGCCCAATTGCGCGTGCTAGGTATGCGGAGCGTGTCGCACTCAATCTTCCAGCCCAACCACCGGCTCAAACGCGCAAGCCATATGCGATAGGCCGAGTATTGAGACTTGTGTGTGCCCTCAGCGCCCATACCGAGGCTGGAAATGAAGATAGCTTCATCCTCGGCCTCGCTTGACACCACACCAGCGGCAGCGTCAAGCGATTCATTGTCAGAGAAATCAAGCGCTGACGCCGCAGACGAGCGAGTAAACCTCTCATCAAACATCCATGCACAGCAGGGTATGGAGAGGTACCCACTCGCACCCGTGAGTGTTGCCAGTACAGGAAGCCATGGTGTTAATTCGTCTGCGTGGTTTCCGATGAGGAATGCTCCGGGCTCCCAAAGGGATTTCTCTTCATCGTTGCTGTTGTCTGGGGAAAGAAATTGAGTGGGGTCAAGTGCGTGCACCTTTAAGGCTGCCCGTGACGAGTTGGGGTAATGTGCCCAGGAAGTCCGTGCGCGGAGATCGATACCGTATCCCGAATAGCCCTCAGCCGAGAGAATATGTGTCAACAAGCCATTGCCACAGCTGCATAAAGATGATGAGACGAAAAAAATAGATAATGCTGCAGGCACACCCACCCAAGATCGAGGAAGCCTCCAGATGGACGAGGCCAGGATGTCCATCGTGAATCATCCAGCTCCTTCATGTCGGCTAAATCAACTGAAGCAGCAAACATGTCCTTCCAGAAAAGCATAAGAAATGTTGCGATGCCAATGTCCTAGGCAAATGAGCTGATATCAACTTTATATAGAAGGCATCCACACCTCGAACACATGCTTCAAGGGATCGGTGGTCTCCCTCCATGTGTTTACTATCCCTTTATGGCGCTCACGCATTTTGAGATATACGTCTTGATATATTTCTCGGGGTATGAGGACATCGTGTTGTACGCGCTTCTGATAATGAGTGAATGCACCCCAAAGGTAACGGTGGAGTGTGTCAAGGAGTGCAAGTGCCGTACGGTAGAGGCGACTGTTGGGGTCGGTAGGCGTGCCTGGGAGTGGAATAACTTCAATGCGCAGTGCCGATTGTGCAGAAGCTGAATCTGAAGTTGTGGTGATGCTGGAAGGGATGAACCGGAAAGCAAGATGTGACACCGTAGGATGATAGTAGGGCAGGCTCTCTCCTTCGGGTACAAGTGGTGTAAGGACCAACATGGACGGAAGGCCCGCAAATTCACCGGTTTCGAAGGCGTAAAGCGTACAGTGCTGCTCTAGTCCTGAGTCTCTACCCGGCCTACGCGGTAGCAGCTTGCGATGAACATTGCGTACAGCGTGGTATCCATCCAGACATGGAGCAGACGTTGGGATGGTGGTATCAGAGTCTGAGATGGTCTCTGAGCGCAAGATCAATGTCGAATTGTACTCTGGGTGATGAATCAATTGTGAAACAGCCGCCTCGAACTGTTGGAGTGAATCAGATCAACAAAACTAAAACAACATAGCCCGTAGACTGCGCACCAATTCAAGCGGGACATCTGCAGGACAGCTAACCAACGACTGGAATCTAAAGTGCAAAGGATTGGGATCTGAATTGCACAGCGACGGTACGTCATGATGAAGCCGGTGGACATCACTGACACCTGATGAATTTGAAGGATTGAATCTCGGTCGCTGAACTGAGGGTGCCATAGCCATATGTATAGCGAAAATTGGCAAGTGCTATAGCGCTATACAATGACTAGTCGTAAGTGATCGTGGCACTGATCAAGCATTACGCATTATGCATTGAGATTATCAAGATGATAGCTGAGTGCTGAGCTGGTAATAATGTCTTCAACAAAGTCCTGGAGTAAGTCCTGGTGAGTCGTGACGAATTGATCTTCCTCAGGCTGATTCCTGAAATTGAAAACTTGCGCCGCGCGCGGCAACTGGTCTATACTTCGATCACGTGATTTACCCCATTTCCATGCCAGGCAGCAGCCGAATGCGCTCTGAGCACTCATTGTGGTCACCATTATATTACTCCTGTTCTCAAAGTCAGATGTACAAATTCAACTGCTTTGTCTTAGGCGATGATCCTTGCCGTAATAATATTTTCTCAGTCATCGTTGCGTGGACGTAGACCGTTTATGACCTCAAAACGGTCATCAAAAACAAGAAGAAACGACATTTTGACCATGTTGAGTCGGAGTCATATCTGTAAGGGGGTCGGACTTTGTCAATGCATTTGTATAGACAGCAGCGATTAAAAACTCTATTTGTCAACGTCATGGCCGATTCAAGCACATCAACACAATGTCCCGGGAGATGGCAAGTAGATCACGAGACGGCACTATACAACGCTGGAATCTGGATACTAGCCGACAGATAGTACCACCGACACTGGACATAGACTGGCCATGAGTGTTTACGCTGTCTACTCTCTACAAAGGGACAGATTTACGACCAACGGAGAAGATAAGGTGATCTGCGTATGGTCAAAGGATGGCGAGCTGCTCATATAGATGAAGATGCAGCCATGCCATTGTGTTGGTCCAAGGACACTTAGGACAGCGTACACATTTTCTCCACGTCAAACAATCGCACCATACGAAAATAGCGGTCAATTGATGGGAAGGAGCTTGTTGTTTTTGAGGGTCATGTCAATGCTGTCGGCACCCTCTGCCTTTCTCCTGATGAAAGTCATCTTGTTTCACGTGACTACTGGGTTCGCATTCGGGATCTCAAAACCAATCAGCCAGTCGGAGACTAACTCTTGCAAATATTCTACATATATGGAGCGTTGATGCAGCGCTCAAACATGCAGGCGATGATCATGATTCATGTGGGTGCATTTACTCATCAGTGTCTTTTCAAAGTGGGTTTCGGTTGTCTTTCAGAGTGCGAATTAGAACAATGTAAAACCTGATGGAAAAATCAAGGCAAGTCGTCTGCACTTCCCTTTCGGTGGCTGTATCAGTTGTGAACACCCTACTCGCTTGCTTATTCGTCACATCAGATTTTGCACGTTAGTCAGGTCTCCAAGCACTGGCAGCACGTCAACAGAGGGTTGGCGAGATATGTCAGTATGTTCTTTCGTTTCTTGGCTGTTGCAATTCTGACACTGGTATATGGCAAGGACTTCTTGGACGCCGATACCAACACTGAGCCTACTAGTCCCACAGTCTCTCATTGCCTTCCCTTCGTTGGCTTCATTTGCTCGGTTCGTGCATTTTAACACTCGACCTCCAAACACGCCACAATACAATCAATACCGCTGCAGCCCCATCGTTAGAATTTCAACTTATTTCCAGCAGGAATCTCTGTAGGTACTATTGAAGTAGCTGTCGGTTGCAAGAAAAACGTGACTAATTTCTATCGCCCCTTTAATATTTGCAGGGAAGTTTTATTTCCCATCCCAGTGCAGCAGAATTGGCCTGCGCAACATGGGCTGCAGCAGGTATGCACCATACGAATGGCAACGACACTGAGGCTGGCGGTTCAACGCAAGCAAGTCGATCTCAGGCTGTGTCTCAAGGACACCCGATGGAAACGTAACCAGGTCAATTTCAGGCTGTACCGGGGACACAAATGTCTCAAGGAATGCAAGGCGGAGGTGGTAGGCTTGGGGCAGTTTCATACGAAGCAGTGAGCTGCTGCGGGTTTTTCTTTGAATTTTTCTTTGGTCGTCGTTGTCCCAGTCATGAGGTCCTCTAGACTACTTGCTTCAATGTTTTTCTCTTGTGGGCTTTACAGACTATTCCGAAAATTCAACGCCATTGCTCCAAGTCAGTCTGGAGGGTGTGATATGCCATCTGATGTGGAGTTGGCTGGTTCACGAGTCAGAAGCATGTTTTATGTAAGTAACTTTTAGGCTTGTCCAAGTCGACGCTATTTTTCTGAGTGTCGCGCTTGAAACTCACAGCTGATGGTGGCACTACTGGAATGGAGTAGCAGTATAGGCTTTCTTGCTATGATACATATGCAGAGAGAGCGCAACAACAGAGCTGGAACTTCACTCCTTGGTTCCTTGAGTACTCATCGAGACCAGGACTTACGGCCGTCTTCGTGGATCTGAATCCTGAGCACATAGTTGACATTCATTGAACAACCAGCGATTAGATTTGAAAATGACGATTCTCTGATCTCAATCGTTTTGTTTTTTAAGTCTTTGGTGAATTCGAATGGAACGAGCTGACTTGTACTCGTCGAGTACCCCTAATTCAACCCCTCTTCACTACCTCAAACATGGCTACTGTTCCCCCAAGCACATATCAGCCCCCAAGTCCCGCTTCTCCCCCTGACCATGTTTTACAAGGTTCAGCCGGACCAAAGGTAAATCATACCCTGATAGTGAACGAGTCTTTTCTAACAGCCTTGCCTCTCAAGCCAGTACAATATGCTCCTGACGACCACACCGCTCATCCCCAACCACGCCAGGAGCAGATGCAACCCACAGGACAGATGGACGCTTCAGAGGTGCCGCAGGATAAAGGGAAACTAGCGGATCCAGTGCACTGAACAGAGTCAAAAGAAAGAGGAGGAAGGCTCCGGTTCGGGTGCAGGGCAACCTGGACAACAACAAGGTCGACCCCACAACTATTGGCACACCGGACTTTTCAATTGCTGGGATGATGCTGGGACTTGTGAGTCACATCAAATATTACCACAGAGTGATTAAATTCACAACCTGCTTCACAGATTGCATGTCATGTTGGTGTCCTTGCATAGTATATGGGAAAAACCGCCAGCGGTTTGACCACTTGCAAGAAAACGATACGGCAGATCCGGAACATGGTGGTTCGGGCTGTGATGCCGATTGTTGTATGCATCTAGCACTTAACGTGTTGTGCGGTTTCGGTTGGGTACTGCAGGTGAGTACAGATTTTGTCGTTCTTTACAGGTACATATTAAGAAAGGTTTTTAGCTTGGACAAAGGGCCACATTGAGAGCGCGCTACCACATTGACGGAAGCTACGTCAACGATTGCTTGACTGCATTCTTTTGCACCCCATGTGAACTCACCCAAGAGAGTCGAGAATTGGCAGAGGAGGAAATGACTGCTTCCAATACTGAGAGGCTCGGACAGACTCGTGACACATAACACGAACTGGCCATTCTATGGCTCAATCAGTTACTTGCCATGTTTATCTTGTTGAGCGATTGAAAATCCACAACTTGCAAATGTTATTGCAATTTGAGGCCTCAGGCGGCCATTAAAATTTGTTTGGGCTTCTTGTACTGCACGAGTGACGACCGAAGAAGTTGTTCTGGTTATTTTGTGTTGCCATGAGTTACGGCGAAAACTTGAAGCAACTCTGAATCGAGGCTAGTCATGAGCTTCAAGAGGAAGGTTGAATGTCACCGGCCGTGACGGTGGAGACTCTTGTTTGTTTGGCAAAAGCCTTCGATCCAAACAACCTTGCGAAAATTGCCTCGATCTTCCGGATCGCCATGCCTGTCTTGCCGAAACGTCTGTCGGGTTTCACTGTCATTCCAATTGCATATCCGAGCTCATCACATTTCATCTATGCAAGAGCTCACACCCCTCCTAAATCCAAAACGTCAAAATCTAAAAATGTTCTACCTGAAGGACGCACGCTGTTCCTAGTGAACGTACCACCAGATGCGACAGAGCGTGAACTCACACTGCTATTCAAAGATTGTGGGACAGTAGAACGCGTCTTATTTGACTTCAACTCTGCCGACGCTCCAGAAGAACACGAATCCGATTCTGACGAGGAGGTGGTCGAGGCTGCTGAAGAATCCGATACTGAAGCACGACCTCGCAAGAAAAGGAAGCTCCAAACTTCCGAGCCTGCGCCTCCTAAAATGATGCCCCTCCCCTCTCCATCCCTTCGCACACTGCGCAAAACTGGGTCTTGTGCCCATCTCATATTTCTCGATTCCTCATCTCTTGCAAAAGCGCTTTCGCCCCCTACGTCACCCAAACCATGGCCATCCTCGGAGGAGCCCCGTGGTCTCTCTCACTATATGGCAAACTATGATAATGAGCGGCCTCCGCTAGACACTATCAAAGCTCACGCAGACAGCTTTATGGAATGCTTCGAATTCAACCTTTCAAAGAGTAAACAAGAGGCCAAGTACCGGAAAGGGGAAGCAGTTGTGGACGAGGACGGATTCACACTAGTCACTAGAGGAGGTGCTTATGGACAAACGCTTGGCGGAGGTGTGGGCGTTGCCAGCAAGAAGTTCATGCTCACTGGGAAAATTGGGGGTAGAAAAAAGAAGGACAAAAAGAAGGAGAAAGATGCGTTCTATGCCTTCCAGAAGGCTGAAAAACAACGAAAAGGTGAGCGCGAAGGTGTTTTTCACGAGGATGTCGGTTCACGTGCCTGTAGTTATACTCGACATGAAAAAGAACTTCGAGACGGACAAGCAACGCATAGAAAAACTGAAGGAATCACGGCGGTTCAAGCCTTATTAATGATCTTTGCCATACGTTTAGGAAAGTGGATATAGCATATCGCGAATACGATATAATGTAAGGTACCGGAGTTTTTCGTTCTAACGGGCGAGTCAATGTCCCTTCATTCAGCGGGTGTGCTCCGTCAGAGTGTATACATCAGCGATCTCCCTCGCTTGTGATTATTTCAGTGGTATTTTGAAGAGTTCTCTTGACAGGCCGCCGACCGTATGGGTCCCGTTGAGTGGGTGATGAACGTCAACGACAATAAATGAGTGCGATCAGCGAGTCGCCATCACACCGTTCGACGGTACCAGTTTACTGCAAAAAGACGTATATCAAAACCTATGGTACGTTACTCTACGCCCTCATTTTACTTCCCCTGAGCAGACTAGAACTCTCCTATTGCGTATCACCATTCCTAAATCTTTGGGAGCGTCCTTCATCGGCTGCATTCTCCTTCATTCACAATAGCCTCGCAGGAGACTCGACTAACCCCGTCCTAAGGAGAAACCTACAGCCTACTCCTGCTTCGGTGAGGCCCATCCGTATTTGACAGGGCTGGAAAACCTGTCGCTGTTCTCCTATCACCATGCCATTGGTTACTGTTCTACGCAGTACTATCCTTTCTTTTTCCCAATACATTTATACTCATCAGAACACCCCTTTGCAACCGTTGCTCATATTGCTGGGTTTTCGCCGCGGAATTCTGTATGCAAATGATAATCGATCCTTGCTGATATTACCAATAGTGCGGAGTCTAGACCCCGCGGCGAGTGATCAGCCATCGGGCGATGTCAATTACTGATCTATCGCATTGCTTTCCACAGAGCTTCCTGGCGAGTTGGTGACCTCCCTAGCGACATTGCTGAATGTACTTTCCGTGGTACCCAAGATCATTTTATCTCGTTTGACTCGACATTCTACGACAAATGAGCGGACACATGCCGGCCTGTCTTCCACCTCATGGTTTATACTGCTTTCCTGCGGAGGCGGCTTTACCCGTGGTACATGCTGCTCCAGGGAAAATTCACTTGTTGATGCGCCCATAAATTCTGTTTTTGGCGGGTCGTTGACAGTTCTTCGAGTCATAGCAGCGACTACCCACAGAGGATATGGCTCCGAGAAACTCTCTGCCCCGACGACGCCTCCACTACTTTGGAGGTCCACGATTCGCAAATATCTGATCGTCGAGAACATGTCAGTTGGCCCACCTATCATGATCACGTGAGCTGGCGGCTGAGCTCGCCTATAAATACACCGCCAGAGCTCGAAGTTCGGCATGCTGCCCTAGGCGGCCACTGGTCAGTAAACTGCATGCACGAATATCGGGTCCCGTTGATGTTTCATGGTCGTATGGCTACCGACGGACCCCGACGGTAGTATGTGATCACTTCCTCACGGATGCCCATCGCTTATCGTGCCAAGACCAGGCGTCATGTCCTGCAATATAGTAGTGAATCGCTTGTAAACTGTCTGATGGTTGCAGACAACACCGTGTATCTCGTTCTGTGAGTTCTCAGGAACGATAATCGCTTAGACGTTTACACATTGATTATGCGTATTAGCGATCTACGTAAAGGTCCTGAGACCGAAGCTAGTGCGTCGCTTGTGTGCGTGGAATTGGTGATTGTGGTGGATTCCCCTGTCTGTTGTTTGAAACCAACTTACGCTTATTCAAGTTCTTCTTGACATCACGCGTGTTTATTGGAGCGGGAACATAAGAACCGCGAAAGGCTATGAGCCCACGGCGGCCCGCCACCACGGGGAGCTGTACTGCTGCGACTACTGGTGGCTTGGAGGGGGATTTTTGGTACTACGAATTAAATTTAGTTGCATGATCCATATGCATGAAGGTGTGACAGATGCATATGGTGGCTGCGACTAAAGATTCTTCCTCAAGTTTGTATGTAAGGACGCCCACAGCAATCTTATTTTCCCATAGGAGAGGTTTCCACTCAGAACAGCGTGCCGAAATTCAGCGAGCAGATATAAATGATGATTCATGCCAAATTTGATTTCTGTTCTACACATGTAACTATTACAATCATGATGAAGTTTCTGAAGTGCTGTATGTCTGTTTTATGAATGACCTAGAATTTGTACTTGGAAACGATTTCCCAGAAGCCCTTGCCTTGGAGAGTACCGAGCTCTAGTTCAAGAGCTGAAGGCTGGCGCGAGCCATCAGGCCCAGCGTAGGTGCCTGCACCCCAAGGGGAACCTGAGTAGAAGCAAAATTTAGCAACGGTCGATCACGGACGGAAGGGAATAAACATACCACCGCGAACTTCGGTCATGTTAGCGAGTTGCGCGAATGTGTTTTTGTAACCCAAGGGAACATAGATAATCCCGTGGTGAGCGAGAGTGGAGAGGGAGTTGATGATGGTAGCTTCCTGTCCTCCACCTGGAGTGCCGGTAGAAACGAAGACACTGGCGAATTTGCCGGCCAAAGCACCACTGAGCCACAATCCACCAGTTGCGTCCCAGAAAGCCTGTGAGAATGAAGCATATAATTAGAATTTTTAAAGAGACTAGAACGGATCAGAGACATACCTTCCACTGTGCGGGGAAGTTGCCATAACGGGTAGGAACACCGAAGATAAAGGCGTCAAAGCTAGCAAGTTCGCTTGGTGCGAGGATAGGATAACTCGGCTTTGGGGCAGCATGCATCTTTACGAGGACTTCCTCGGGTAATGTTTCAGCGATCCTGATTAATCCAGTAAGTGAGAGATCTGAGACTAAGATCGATAACATACTGGTAAATGGTGACGGATCCTCCGGCAGATTCGACACCAGCCTTGACAGCCTCGGCCACTGATGAAGAGGGATTAGGGTACTAGGGGGATCTCGATGATTTGTACTTACACTTGGCGATGTGGCCGTACATGGAGTAAATGATGATTGCGACTTTAGGAGACGACATGTTGTAGTGGAAGAAAAGATGACTGAAGATAATGATAACGATGGATGATGAAGCTCAGTATTTGTATGAAGATTTCAGTACTTTGTCCTTGCTTGACAACACCTTGAAACGCATACGTCACTGACTCAGCGCGATAGTGGTAATTGCAAAAAGTACGAATGCAGTATTTTTCGACCCACACTAAAGACCAAACCCGGATGATCGAGCTCACCATCACCCTCGTTTTATGTAAAACTGACCAAGCTGGGCGTTAACGCGAGCTCGTCATATTTCATCTTGTGCCTGTCTCTTAGAAATCCCGAGAACTTTTGTCTCTCTTTGGAACAATTATGATTCATCGCTAAACACCTCTTCGCGTATGTACTATTCCTCACACACCGTTCCAGCCAGTAAAACGCGCGCAGCCGAATATTATATGTGCGTTTACCAGACGCTGAAGCTCTCAATTCAATTTTCTCACCAACATAACGTGGGTGGCCGTCAACAAGCCTAGCGAAACTAGCCTGGATTTACTCCGGCAAGATCGACAATCATGACTGACCGGCCTCCCACACCTCGCACATAGTATTCTACCAGCAGCAGAGAAGGCAACCGAGTCCGAGATGGCATCAAACACGTTCGGTATGCAACTTGCTGTATCCAGGGTAACTTCATCCTGATATAGCAACAGTTTGGACACGCATGTACATGATGTTTTTCGATAAACCAGTTGTTTTTATGAAGTCGAGATAGACCATCGTATCGCACAGGAGACATATCGAATGGATTATGCAACGGTACGGCCTCTATCCAAGCCATCTATTACTGCCTCCCTTTTATTGACGTATTCTTAATCCTGTGGTGCCAGATAAACCTTGATCTATAAATTTGCTTCGCAGGCCTTTTTCCCCATCTCACGCTAGACGCGAATGTTTCATTTTAAAGGCTGACCTCAAAACCCGTTATATCCTCGCAACTGAGAAGCTAGTGCCTTTTTCTACTAATACATCGGAATGTGTTTCCCTGGAAAACGACAAAAAGACAACTTCACCGAGCCAAAACCCACACCTCTAGATACAAAAGCCCCAGCAAATCAACCAGAGCACCCAGTTTCTCCCCCCGTTCTCCCTCCACTTTCATCTATTTCTCCAACCAATATGCCTGCCCCTAGGATCGCTATCGTCACTTACTCCCTTTACGGGCATATCACAAAGAGTGCGTCTGCCTCGCCACACATCCACTTCCTTGCTTAATACATCATTCACAGTGGCTGAGGCCGTCAAGAGTGGTATCAGCAATGCTGGTGGTAATGCCTCTATCTATCAGTCCGTCCATATCCACCTATCAGGCTATGAGCGTGCATTGACTTCACTCCAGGATCCAGGAGACCCTCTCCGACGATATCTTGAAGCTCGTCAAGGCGCCTCCTAGACCCGATTACCCTGTCCTCGTCCCTGATGACCTTGTCAACTTTGACGCGTTCCTCTTTGGTATCCCCACTCGTTACGGCAACTTCCCCGTTCAGTGGAAGGTACGCTATCTTACATCTGCAAGGTTGAACACGTTCCTTGACGTACTCATACAGGCATTCTGGGACGCCACTGGCCCTCTCTGGAGCAAGGGCGCTCTTCAGGGCAAGATGTGCGGTGTGTTTGTCTCCACTGGTACCCAAGGTGGTGGACAGGAGATCACCATTTCCAACACGTTGTCCACTTTCGTGCACCATGGTCTCATCTACGTTCCCCTCGGCTACAAGCACTCCTTCCCTCAGTTGTCTAACCTGACCGAGATCCACGGTGGTAAGCCCTTCTCTCAGATGAATGGCTACACAAGCATTAATCATCAACACTCTATTTCCGAACAGGTTCTTCTTGGGGTGCAGGAACCTATGCAGGCACGGACGGTTCCCGCCAGCCTTCACCTCTCGAAATGGAGATTGCTGCTATCCAAGGCAAGGCCTTCTGGGATACTGTGGCACAATACCACGGCCACGCCAAGTCCTCGTGAATCTAGATATTGATATGTACGGATTCAGCTTGGATTGTATATACATTGCGCACGCATAATATGAATTAAATCTCGCGCTCGTGCAAAGTCCCATTACATAGATGGATATTTTCTGATCGTATGTGTTCGCATCAATACGCCATCCATCGAATCTGTGGGTTTGTTCCCATGGCTTTGGTGCGCCGTTACCCGATTAGCATGCACACATGTGACGGCGGCCTAAATTTAATCACTAGCAACTTCCCGGACTGAAATACTTGAACTCACACAGCGTGCATGCGCGAAGATCGTATTTGTGTGAAAGCTGGGCCGACTGTAACCACTTGCGTACATGCTTTGAATCACAGCCCGAGAGGTGGGTGCTCCTTGACGAGTCTCATGCAGCTCCCTAGTAAGATCCTAGCGAACTGCGCTACCGGATAGCATATCTTGAAGGTGCTAAGCAGCGCGCGTTATCCCGTTATGATCGTATCATCAGGAAAGCCGTGGCTCCCAATGCCCAGTACAAGAAGCTCCTGAAGATTGCAGGCACCCTCATTTAGAGTCAACCCTGTGGCACACGGCCTCCGTGTCCCAGATTGTAATAGTGCAACGATAAACGCCAGCCTGATCTATTTGTGTTTAAATAAACTCATGGGCGCGCTGGTTGCGGAGAACGGAAGATGAAACTGATCGATGGCAAATCGTATGGAATATGATAGAGAATGAAGAAATTACTAATCATTGCAAAGCGGTTTACTTCTTTTTGCATAGGGTCTTTGGATCAAGCAAAACTCATATCTTCAGCCCAGTTGCCTGATGGACGGTCTCCAAATGCACCATCTTCATCCATTGCTGGCCCCCAAGCTGCGTCGTCCTTACTTTTGACGGCCTGAATATCTATTAGCATCCGTCCACTAACCAATTCGATCCCAAGACGTCAAAGCAACGTGGTCGAGCAGAAAATAGTGTCGGAGCCGACAGGGTTCGCACGTCGAGGACACACCTTTGTCAGATATTCTTTGTTCCTTTCCATTTCTTTTTCAAGCCTCACAAGAAGGGCGTCCTGCTGCTGTGCCTGTGACAACACTCGGTCGACGTCAGTCTTCTCGAATTTCACTGGTGGGTCCGAGAACGACACAGTCCCATCTGCAGACAGCTCCGCGGAGATTTCTGAGCACTCAATCTAGCACAAAGCATCAGTTATTCGTACGATTTGCCAAGGGAAAGGAATCCACCATGCTCAAAATCAGAGATTTCACTTTATTCTCGTCCGAAATTCCCACTTCTCGTCCGATATCGGATAAGTGTAACGTCAAATAGGTGGTTGTGAGTTTCTTTATGGCCCAACGGGGCGCACGGTCGAGTGCCTGAGTGATGAGACCAAGAGTTCTTTCCTATACGCGTGGTTAACGATACACATATTCATGCGATTTCAATATCGTACATTGGTGAATAGCTGCTGCTCGTTCTCGACTATCGTGCGAAGGTAGTCGCGTTGCAGAGGATATGCATTCGTAAAACTTGCATAAGGTGTCGCCTTGAACAATCGCATAAGAATCGGGTGCATGTATTTGGAAGGAGGTGACGTCTGACCAATCAGAGTGCGTGAGCGAGCCGTTCACCCATGGAGGATACTCGTACCTTTCCGCGGTATATCAACTGTACGAGGACCAACTTCTTTAATGCTTCCATTTGAATAGCCGAAGCCGCTGTGCCTGGACTTGATGCGCAGATCTCAAAGAGTTCTTCTGCAGCTGACCAGCTCTTTAGCGCAGCAAGTGCGATACCGCCGGCGTAGTGGTATACTAAATTATCGTGGTAGGTCAAGTCGGAAAGTGAGAGATCAATTGTGGTGATCGAATGAGCCAGGACGGGGATCGCGGCTGAGAAGTGGCGAGTGGCGACGCAAATCTGTAACAATTGCTGGCGATTCAGGAAACTGGAGAGGTAACGCAGCTGGCAACCTTACTGTCAGGAAAATAGGGTGGATGGTGGTGAGATGCGAAAGGGTTGGAGGATATTTTGCGAGCAAATCAGATAATGGCGCGATTGCAAGTTTGGGCTAAGAAACTTGAGATCAGGTGGAGAGCTGAGTCAATAATATATCTTACATTTCCTTCAACTTCAGAGAATTGTCGTATTCCAGTTGCAAGAAGTGTCACTGGATGTATATGACCTCATTGTACCACCACATAAGTGAGGACAGGCTAACCTCGATCCGGAGCAACACGAGCATGTTCGGGGATAAAATCGCGGCAAAAACTCTCGATATGGTGCCACAAAGGCTTATCAGACGCGACAGTATGCAGTCGCACAGACCTGCAGGAGATCGGTGTGCGTAATGAAACTTTCCAATAAGACTCACTCACAAAATGTAAAGCATACCAAGCGTGTGATCTCGCGCGTTTAGCAGAGTCAATGGATCTTGGCTACCTGGCAAAATGCTGGCCAGCAGGACTTCTCTGACATCTTTGGATGCGCAACTCCTCAGATATTGGTTTAATTGGGAAGGACTTGACGTCGAAGTTATGGTCGCGACAATAGAGGCTAACGATACATCACTTGCAGATTGACCAGCTGCGTTCGATGATGACTGTGCAGGGCTGGTGGTTGACGTGGCGGATGTAAGGGGTGGAGTAGGAAGACCTGATTGATTCATGACGCAACTTTAACACCAACTGCATCAATATAGTCAACGATATAGATATTGTCCAAGAGGTAAATGTTTAGATACCGAGGATTATCCTTGGTGCGAAACAAATCAGAATGAATTCGAACGGTTGTTGAGACCAATTGGATGGTAGTTTTTTGGTCGAAGGATGTTACCACTCCTGTCACTTAACTCAGTGGTACTTATTCAAGAGAATGATTCAATTGCAGCTCCTGATCGTCTGAATGCTTACCTAATCGACAACGACAAGCCGGGTGCGTTTACTTTTGTCCCAAAATTCAACCTCAACTGCTTAGTCTTACTTAGGCGACCACCCCAGGCCTGTCGAGATTGTATCGACGAAGGCTGTTGGTAAACTGAAAGATTTGATCAAGGAAAATAATAAGCATGAATTCGATCTAAGCATCTCATGCTATGGAAGGTGCACCGGTGAGTAATGGACTGGAAAATTGCTGGTGCTGACCGTATGATACTTAAAGGTTGATATCAATCCGAAGAAGAAGTTAGATCTCCCGCCTGACATCGAGGAGCTCGTTGACCCGCTTACTCGACTCTCCAAAGTGTTCACCGTTAGACCGGATGATGGACACCTTCATATATTTGTGGAATGCCAGTACGTCTTACGCATATTATCACCTTATGTCCAGTAGAATTGTGATAATGTGCGCGGATACTCACATCCGCCTGAAGGTATAGTTGATCGGTGTAACAACTCATACCGATAGGGGGGGAGGGTCTGAGCGGTGTAAGGTGGCCTCATGTACATTTTTCCCGAGCGGGTACCTCTTGGGTAAAACAGTCGACCAAATTTCCAAACATTGATCAGGGGCAAAGTTTGTAAGCCACACGCGGTCCTGACATTTCCTGCACTTCAAAAGTGCCAGGTCTGTGCGCTGACATATAGATAGCGCATTCTTCTTCGTAAGTCTCTCTTTGAATCTTTTTCGTCTCGTACCATCACCTTCGGCACTCGACGCTTCGCAAACCTGAAACACATCTCACTCACAACTCTTTACTTCCACAACCTTCAAGTTTGGTTCTCCTCCTCGTCAGAACTGAGTACGGCATTCCTACAAAGCCTTCACACCACCTCGGGTTCGACTTCAGGTCTCATCAGGATGGCTGATATCAATGTTCGGGGGTTCACCAAATTCTCTTCCATATACAGTCCATACTGATTTTCTATGCAAAGGTTCATGAAGATATGGATGAAGACAAGCTGCACGAGGTATTAGTCAACTATGTCTTGAGTCGGTCCATCCCATGCTGATAGGCTAAAATATAAGGCAACAAATATGAAGAAGACGATACAAGACCTACAAGCTCAGACTGCTCTGGATGCTGAGCGCATCACCGACCTGGAGGCCATCATCGCAGAGCTGAAAGACGCCAACGTGGGGCTGAAAGACGCACAGAGAAAAGAGCGGCAGAGTATGTGAGTAATATGCTACTATTTTACATGACTTGGAGATCAAGTTGCCAACGTTGACTTAGGAGCGATCACATCGAACAAGCGTTCAACCGAATCGAACATTGTATCTAATATTCTGAGTCAAGGAGGGTGGGTCACCCTAGGGCAGCACGCTATCAGGTGGTCCTAATAGTATAATCCCCCATAGGGGGGAGGGGGGTATAATGAGAAGTGAGAAGTGAGAAATATGAGAAGTGAGAAGTGAAATATGAAAAATGAGATGTGAAATATGAGAAATGGATTATGTAATACGAGAAGTGAGAAGTCAAAAGTGAGAAGTGAGAAATCCAAAATGAGAAGTGAGAAGTAAAGTGAGAAGTAAGTGAGAAGTAGTGAGAAGTGATGAGAAGTACATGAGAAGTAAGTGAGAAGTGATGAGAAGTACATGAGAAGTAAGTGAGAAGTGGTGAGAAGTACATGAGAAGTAAGTGAGAAGTGATGAGAAGTACATGAGAAGTAAGTGAGAAGTAGTGAGAAGTACATGAGAAGTAAGTGAGAAGTGGTGAGAAGTAATGAGAAGTGGTGAGAAGTGATGAGAAGTACATGAGAAGTGATGAGAAGTATATGAGAAGTAAGTGAGAAGTGATGAGAAGTACATGAGAAGTGGTGAGAAGTGAGAAGTAGAGATATTGGACAAATACCCCCCTCCCCCCTAAAAAATATTATATACCAGGGTGGAAAAATGACCTCACTTATTCACTAAGACACTTTGCTTGCTTGACTTTCATGAGAAGTGTATGGAATGTATATGTCAAATAAATGAGTGGGAGGAGCTGAGCTCCAGCCTAGGGAATTTCTCCCTAGGCCTAAAATGGACATCTAAGGAGTAAAGTATGACAGTTTTAGAAACACTTGGGCACTCATGTGACTTTCACAGATTTCATTTATCTTGTGTATTTCACCAAACAGGAGACAGGAGGACATGGGACACAGTGGGAGATGGGAGGCAGGGAAAATTGGGAAATAAATCTTAAGAAAAAAGGGAGAACAGTTTTGGAAACGCACAGGCGCTCACGTGGTTTTCGCCTAAATATGTTTAGAGCCACATGGTTTTCACTTACCTTGCTTAAAGCTCTTTGTGAAAACTCATGTGGATTTGTCATGTATTTTTGAGCGCTAACTCAATCACCACTGCAGCACAATATGCAACACAAGTATTTTCCCTATTGTAGGTTCTGTTTGCTTCCTGTGCTGAAGGCAGAATGAGTGTTTGCTAGTATGAAGTGTATGAGAAGTGCGTGAGTAGTCAATTGAGAAATGCATGAGAATTAGATGAGAGGTTCATGAGAAGTATACAAGATGTGTGTGAGAAGTAGATGAGAAGCATATGAGATGTGTGTGAGACATGTGCAAGCAGTATACACAAAGTGCATGAGAAGTCTATGAGAAGTGTGCAATAGTACATGAGAAGTGCAAGAGAAGTAGATGCAAAGTAGATGAGAAGTGTGTGAGACATGCATGAGAAGTATATGAGATGTGTGCAAAGTATGTGAGAAGTATGTGCTAGTGAGAAGGATGCGAGAAGTGCATGAGAAGTAGATGAGAAGTACATAAGAAGTGTATGAAAGGTGTGAGATTTGTGCATGTAGTGTATATGAACTGCATGAGAAGTACATGAGAGGTAAATCTTACAAAGAAAGGGAGAACAGTATCAGAAATGCTCATGTGCTCATGAGGTTTTCACACACATACATACATACAGTAAACAATCAAGCTGAAAATGTAACAACATATGACACAATTCTCCACACAATAAATATATGTCTTGATAGGAAATGAATGACAAAGTATTATGACTTCAATATGTTGAACCTTCTCTAGCCAAATGGCTAATTGTCTAGCAGTCACACATAGACAGAAGGACAGGTTCTAGCTCAGGTGAGGCTCGAGGCAGCCTCCAGGCTACCCACCACTGCCTGCATAGTCTGTGGTGCAGTTTCGGTGTGAGAAGTGCATGAGAAGTTGATGAGAAGTATATAAAGAAGAGTGTCAAAAGTATATGAGAAGTGAGTGAGAAGTGTGGGAAAAGTGTGTGAGAAGTATATGAGAAGTCTTGAGAAGTGAGTGAGAAATCCTGAAAAGTGCATGAGAAGTGTGTGGGAAGTGTGCGAGAAGTACTTGAGAAGTGTGTGAGAAGTGTGCGAGAAGTCTTGAGAAGTGAGTGAGAAGTGAGTGAGAAATCTTGAGAAGTGTATGAGAAGTGTGCGAGAAGTGCATGAGAAGTGTGTGAGAAGTGTGCGAGAAGTGCTTGAGAATTGCATGAGAAGTACATCAGAAGTGTGTGAGAAGTGTGCAAGAAGTGCATGAGAAGTGTGCAAGAAGTCTTGAGAATTGCATGAGAAGTGTGTGAGAAGTGCTTGAGAATTGCATGAGAAGTATATGAGAAGTGTGTGAGAAGTCTTGAGAAGTGAGCGAGAAGTGCATTAGAAGTGTATGAGAAGTGTGTGAGAAGTACTTGAGAATTGCATGAGAAGTACATCAGAAGTGTGCGAGAAGTACTTGAGAAGTATATGAGAAGTGTGTGAGAAGTGTGCGAGAAGTCTTGAGAAGTGAGTGAGAAATCTTGAGAAGTGCATGAGAAGTATATGAGAAGTGTGCGAGAAGTCTTGAGACGTGCATGAGAAGTGCATGAGAAGTGTGTGAGAAGTACTTGAGAATTGCATGAGAAGTACATCAGAAGTGTGTGAGAAGTGTGCGAGAAGTGCATGAGAAGTATATGAGAAGTGTGTGAGAAGTCTTGAGAAGTGAGCGAGAAGTGCATTAGAAGTGTATGAGAAGTGTGCGAGAAGTACTTGAGAAGTATATGAGAAGTGTGTGAGAAGTGTGCGAGAAGTCTTGAGAAGTGAGTGAGAAGTGAGTGAGAAATCTTGAGAAGTGTATGAGAAGTGTGCGAGAAGTGCATGAGAAGTGTGTGAGAAGTGCTTGAGAATTGCATGAGAAGTACATCAGAAGTGTGTGAGAAGTGTGCAAGAAGTGCATGAGAAGTGTGCGAGAAGTGTGTGAGAAGTGCTTGAGAATTGCATGAGATGTACATCAGAAGTGTGTGAGAAGTGTATGAGAAGTGCATGAGAAGTATATGAGAAGTGTGCGAGAAGTCTTGAGAAGTGCATGAGAAGTGTATGAGAAGTACTTGAGAATTGCATGAGAAGTACATCAGAAGTGTGTGAGAAGTGTGTGAGAAGTGCATGAGAGGTATATGAGAAGTGAGCGAGAAGTCCTGAGAAGTGTGTGAGAAGTGTGTGAGAAGTACTTGAGAATTGCATGAGAAGTGTGCGAGAAGTGTGTGAGAAGTGCTTGAGAATTGCATGAGACGTACATCAGAAGTGTGTGAGAAGTGTGCGAGAAGTGCATGAGAAGTATATGAGAAGTGTGCGAGAAGTCTTGAGAAGTGCATGAGAAGTGTGCGAGAAGTCTTGAGAAGTGCATGAGAAGTGTATGAGAATTGCATGAGAAGTACATCAGAAGTGTGTGAGAAGTGTGCGAGAGAAGTCTTGAGAAGTGCATGAGAAGTATATGA